GCAGACCAACACGGCTACCTACCTGTAACTAGGCCTTTTTGAGGCAGTCTCAGCATGGATGCCACGCCAAACAGCATCGTGAGGGGGTTCTCCAAAACGGCCACATCCCTCAGCTCAGTGAGGGAAGATGAAGGGCAGCATGGTGCTGTAATAAACGAAAATCTGCCCTTATTCCCTTATGAGGGACACAAGAGCCCTTATAGAGTCCTTTTGTAGGTTCTCCATCGGTCGAAGAAAAGAACAGAGGCCAACCAGAGAATATTGAGAAGCAAAGCAGCTAGTAAGCCTGATCTTTCTTGTTGCAACAAGGTGCCCCCTTCACACGCAGGAGGACCCAGAACCAAGGTGTGTCCGCCCTTATATAGACATTTTAAATTGCCCGCCTTGGAGTCCAGGACCACCCCCAGAAACATCATATCTACATCACAGAAGGGGTGTACCCCAAGACCACCACCCCAGATGCATCATACCTACATCACAGAAAGGGCGGTCAACAGCAGAAATCTGAGTGTTTTGTTTATCTCCTGTCTGGCAGGTTACCTGTTAGTGCTTACTTGATTGGATACCCTGGAGAGCCTGGCCAGTCTTTTGTAATGATACTTAGTTCCTGACTGGAAAGAGAAGCTGCTGAATTGCAACTCATTACCAAACTTAAAACCATGGAGAGACCTGGTCTGAACAGAGACATTGGATTCTTATCTCATTATACATGACTAAGCCATTTTTCACCTTCTCACCCCTTGCCTTTTCCTGTAAGACCTATTGCAGTTGTTAAGAGTCGTCAACAGGCTCATCTCAGCTACCTGCCAATCACCCATTCCCACCCACCCTTCTGAGTAATACCCCTCCCCACCTTCTCACTATATAGAAGGATCTGGCAACTTCTGTTTCAGTGTATCTGAAGAAGTGTGCATGCACACGAAAGCTCATACCAAGAACTAACTTAGTTGGTCTTTAAGGTGCTACTGGAAGGATTTTTTTTATTTTGACTTAGTTCCTGAGCCAGTTCACAGGCTCACACTATTCATACACAGACATACCCTTAAGACAGGATTTGTGAAGGAAAAGACAATGGGGAGGCTTTTCCATTTTCCTTTGACTTTGCAGAGAAAACATTTGGTCAGTTTGGGAGTAAAAAATGGCTCCAGGGCTGTTTTCCTGTGCTGCTTCAGACATGTGGTTTATATATTTATGTACGTGTTTGCTTGGTACATTTATGAACATTTATTATACATATAAGACCTTATTTTTTTTTATTTCAGTGCCCTCAACCCAATCTCTGCTCTCTCTGGTCAAAACACCACAAACAATCCCTCAGACCAAGAAGCAGTGCGGATTGTCCGGGTAAGGCAGATGGAATAGTTAGATGGAATATTGTGGCAGACAGCAAGAGAGAATCCAAATTGCTTCCTTGGCGAAGAAGATACTCTTATTTCCCCCCTTTGCGCAGCCATCAAGGGGCTTCCTTAAAGCACCAGCCATCTGACTGGTGTTGAAATAATTTGACTGAACAGAGAAGTATTAAATGTTCAAAATAAACAGCAGCGGTCCCAATCCACCCCTGCAAAGCTTTTCTTTCCAAGTGCTCTCTCTGTGTAGAGAGAGCTGCTTATCCTTCTGTCTGAGCTCTAGAGGGAGCATCTATTTTCCTTGAGACCCCCCCAGTCCTTCCTTCAAGTAACCTCCTCCCCCCTGTCCCCAAATACGCACAGACACACAATGATTGCTTATTGTAGAAATTCCTTTATTCTTTAGCTATTCGTGTCTACTGTATTTCAAAATAAAAATTTTAACACACACACACCCTTTTAAGTAACTTTACTTCACTCTGGGATGAACACCAAATCCAGTTCTCAAAATGGAGCCATGCATTGCTTCAATTCTTCCCTGGCCTAAAAACCAGAGGCACCCGATGGTATGACCAGAAGTGGGTTAAAATTTCCAAAATGAAAACACTTATTGAACTGGATTCTCCCCTTCCTTCCTGTGATAATCCATTAGATATATTTTAACGCATTGCCTAGACAGCTGCCAATTGAGTTAATCTAAATTAGCTGGCACTAATTGTGCCTGTAATGAACTCCAGGCATGCCGGCCTCCGACTGCTACCAAAGTTTATCCTGAAGATTTGTATGCTTCAAAGAACCCTGGCTAAAATGGAAGGGGCGGTTCTAAGAGTTTATTTACAGATCCCTCTGCTGAGCAAAGAAACAACTAAAATTTCGAGAAGCCCCTAAACATCTTAACGTTTTAAAGATCAGACCGGTTAAATCTGCAAAACGGGGAACTCTCTGGATTCCATGATCCCCTTAATAATACAGGAATAAATCCTACTCCTTTGTCATCCATCTACAAGGAGAATGTGGGACACCGCTGGAACAAAGAAAGGGAATGCACAATCACTAAAAACATTTCTAAACTACCCGGCTATTACAAAACAAATCAATTAATCCTGGCCCTCTTTACTTAATGAACTAGTTCACTGGATACGACCAAAGGTCTTTGTGAAAGAGCCATCTTGTCTCCAGGAGCACCAGCCAAAAGCCTGCTGGGGTTGACAAGCAGCTCGTGAACATGGCCTGTCCATGTTCTTTTTCCAGATTAGATACTTTCATACAGAGTATGAAAATATTAGTCCTTCCTTTCGTCTATATTCAGAGCTGTTCCTTACAGTCAACACCCTCCAGTTCTTTTGTGACTTGCTCAGCTTCTTGAATTCCTCTTTTGAGGAAAGAACAGAACGGCGACTCATAGGATTTGAAATGTGTCACAATGGCCTGCAGGGGCTTTTGAGATGCGCTACTGACACCCAAGAAAGAAACAGGTCTTGAGCTTTGCTTGCTGCTGGCTAGAACAGACACACCCTCTTATATTTTCAGAGAAAAATATGAATACTTTTAACTTGGTGTGAGTTTGTTGTGGTTTCTTGCTTCTATGAATTCTTTGAATGGTTATAAACCAAATTTTCCACTATAGTGCAAGCATCTTTATGGTTTCTTTCCCACGTGGGTTTTGTGATGAGAATGAAGGGCTGAGCTGCAAGTAAATGTCTTTCCACATTCAAAACAAGAATACGGCTTTTCCCCTCTGTGAATTCGCAGATGTATGCTAAGGCTTGAACTCTGGCCAAAGCTCTTTCCACATTCAAAACATGCATATGGTCTTTCTCCTATGTGAATTTTTTTATGTATATGAAGGCTTATACCCTGGCTGAAGCTCTTTCCACACTCAAAGCACTTATATGGCTTCTCCCCTGTATGGATCCTGTGATGGCAAATAAGTTCTGTGTTAGTACAGAAACCCTTTCCACACGTCACACACTTATACGGTTTTTCACCTGTATGGTATCGCACATGCACTTTAAGGTGTGAACTCTGACTGAAGCTCTTTCCACACTCCGAGCATTTATATGGCTTCTCACCGGTATGAGTTCTCCGATGTGAACTGAGATGTGCACTCTGACGGAAACTCTTTCCACATTCCAAGCATTTATATGGTTTCTCTCCTGTGTGGGTTCTCTTGTGTAAAGTAAGGCTAATTAGATGGGCAAAGTTTCTTCCGCACTCCAAACAGCTATATGATTTTTCTCCGGTGTGGATTTTTTGATGTGATGTAAGGCTTGAACCATAAGCGAAGCTCATTCCGCACTCCGGACATTTATATGGCTTCTCCCCTGTGTGGATTTTTTGATGAGTTAGAAGACCTTGGCTATTACGGAAGCTCTTTCCACAGTCAAAACAGGTGTACGGTTTCTCCCCTGTGTGAATTTTTTTATGATATACAAGGCCTGAGTTGTTACTGAAGGCCTTTCCACACTCTAGACAGGCATATGATTTCTTCCTGGTGTGAATGTTTTGATGTTTTTTAAGGTGTGAGCGGCAACGGAAGCCCTTTCCACACTCCGAGCATATAAACGGTTTTTCTCCTGTGTGGATTCGCTCGTGTTCAGTAAGTCGTGAACGCTCAAGGAAGCTCTTTCCACACTCCAAGCATTTGTGTGCTTTCTCCTCCGTGTGAATTCTGCAATGTGAGTTGAGGGCAGATTTGCTTCTGAACGCTTTGCCACACGATGGGCACTGATTTGTTTTCTCTCCCTGGCGGTCTTTCTCCTGGACTGGGATTTTATGGCCGTCATCAGGCTGCACAAGAATGCCTTTATCACACTTGGTTATGTCTGTCGAGACCTGGGAACAATGACTGTCCTGTCCACCACCTGCTGAAACCAAGAGAAGATCCAAATTAAGAGCATAATCCCCATTACAATCCCAGCAAAACTTGCAAGCCCCTCAAGGGCTGGTTGTTGCAAAATGCAAACTGAGAAGGAGTCTTTTCAGTCCATCATCTGCCAAAGGAGGACAAAGTAAAGCAAAGCTTTTTAATAATGGCAAACTCTCCCCGGTGCCATTTTTCTCTCTCTTCCTAATAAATGCATTATAATATTAATTCCAGAATGGCCATTCATTCTGAGATGATCGTGGGCCTTTGACGTGCTTTGCCTAGTGGGGGGTGGGACTGATTCAACACCCCAGCTAAGTTCCTACAAAGAAAGCTTGCAGGAGAGATGCTGTGAGCTGTGGAAACGGACACAGATTCTCACCCCAATGGGTCAAACCAATCCTGGATTAATCATAAAATCAGAGAGTTGGAAGGGACCACGAGGGTCATCTAGTCCAACCCCCTGCAATGCAGCAATCTTTTCTCCAAGGTGGGGCTACCAACTAGGCTGTGGGAGCCTCCCCATGTGTGGGGCTCCCACTCGCAGTTTCCATGGTAAAAGTGGGGTGTCTTCCTCCTGACCCCCACCAGAGAAAAAAGAAGGACTCATGCCTGAAAATGAATCTTCTACACATCACCATTAAATCATTCCTTTCCTTTGTTTTTACCTTTTATCTCTGCTAGCACAGAGCTCTGGCCCTGCAGCCTCCCTCGTTTTATTGCCAAAGGAGCTTCCTCACTCCCAACATCTCCCCAGGTCCCCATCTCCGTTCCCTGCCACTCACCAGATCTCTCTGAGGGTCCTGGAGGGGAACGGTCAGAGGTTGTGGGAGACAGCCTGACCAGGTCAACTGTCCATCTTCCCCCTTCCATCCTCGCTAGGATTGCGGGATCAGCCTCTTTCATCCTTGCTGAGGAGCTCAGAAGGCATTTTCCTGGGATGGAAAAATAAGCAAAAGGAGCCTCTGAGGACCTGCAGGGATTCTCCTGCCCCTGAAGAAGCCCAAATGGGGCACCCCCTCTGCAACAGTCCCCAACAGAATCTTCTTTGCACCACCATTAAAAAACATTCCTCTCCTTTCTTTCCACCGTTTGTCTCTGTTCTTGACCTGCAGCCTCCCTCGTTTTCTTGCCAGAGGAGCTTCCTCACTCCCAACATCTCCCCAGGTCCCCATCTCCATCCCCTGTCACTCACCAGATCTCTCTGAGGGTCCTGGGAGGGAAAGCTTGGAGGTCGTTGGGAGGAATGCAGGAGACAACCTGACCAGGTCAACTGTCCATCTTCCCCCTTCCATCCTTGCTAGGTTTGTAGGATCAGCCTCTTCCACCCTTCCTGAGGAGCTCAGAAGCTGCAGGTTCCTGGGAGGGAGATAAAAGCAAAGGCAGCCTCAGAGGCCCTGCAGGCATTTTCCCGCCCAAGATATTTTCTTGGCGAATGATAAGCCTGCCTACGTGTGGAGCTCCCATGTGCAGCTTCCAAGATAAAAGAGGAGCGCCTCCCTCCTGAACCCCACCATGCAAGGAAAGCGGAGTCAAGGCTGAAAGAGTATCTTCTTCCCACAATCATTAAAAACACCCCTTTCCTTTTCCCTCTGCCATCCTGGAGCTGTAACACGGCTGCCTCCCTTCCATTCCTCCTCCTCTCTTTCCCCTCACAGGCAGTGGGGGTTCAGGGTTTCAGCCAGAGGACATTCCCACAGCCCTCAATCCATAGAGCATCCAACTCTTAATCTCAGGATCATAGGGTTTGAGCCCCACGTTGGGCCAAACTTTCCTGCATTGCAGGGGGTTGAGCTAGATGACCCTCAAGGTCCCTTCCAACTAGGCAATTCTATCATGCTTCTTGCAGACCCCAGGAGGTGAGCCAGAGACTTTCTGCACTCAGAGCAGAGGCTCCACCACCAGTCCTTTTCTTATGAGTGCTAGCAGGGACCAAATCCTGGGTGGTCTCCTGCCCTCCCCACCCAGCACAGACCCCCCCTCCTTTCCCTACCAGCACCTGCCTCCCTCCTTCCTCCTCCTTCCTGAGCCATCCTGCCTCCTTCCCTCGGCTGCGCATCCTCCCGGGCCTTCCCTCCCAAATCCATTTCTCCAGCCTCGCCTTCTCGCCTTGCTCCTCCTTTCCTGGGGAGCCGCTGCACGACCATCCTTTGCACCCACCCCAACTTTCTTTGAGCTGAATTTTTTGGGGATGGTCCCATGCATCTCCCGCCCACCTCCTCCAAGATCCCCTTGCAGCAGTATCTCCTGCGCGCAGCACAACCGCCTCCCTCGCAGCTTTTCAAACGTGGGTGGAGGGGACACGCGCTCTCTCTCGCGCGCGCGCTTCTGTCCCTCCCCGGAAGTCCCCTCTAACTGCGCCTGGGTGGGGACCTGGGGGATTTCCAAAATGCAAACGTTTCTTACTTGCTTGCTCTCTGGCTTGTGAAGAAAAGGAAACGTCACAGAGATATTTATGGGAAGCGGAGAGAAGGAGCCTGGGCGCGTAGGGGACGGAAAATTGCAACAAAATGGGAGTGGGAGATGCGGGGCGGGAGAAGGAGGATTTGCATTTGGGGGAAGGGCGATTGATGTCAAGGAGGGAAGAGCCCACCCCACCCCCATCCGCAGCCCGAGTGTTGCTGAAGCTCTTTCCACACTCCAAACTTTTATATGGCTTTTCACCAATATGAGTTCTCTGATGTGAGCGGAGATGTGCACTCTGACGGAAACTCCTTCCACATTCCAAGCACCTTGCGTAAAGTAAGGCTAATTCCATGGGCAAAGTTCCATCCGCACTCCAAACATCTATATGATTTCTCTCCTGTGTGGATTATTTGGTGCGATATAAGCTTAGAGCCATAGATGGCTCCTTTACACAGACCCTTGGTCGGTTCTAGCGCGCTAGGATTCGTGGCGTTTGTTTAGAAATTTGTTTAGAAATGTTTTTAGTCATTGTGCATTGCCTTCCTTTGTTCCCAACGGCGTCCCACATTCTCCTTGCAACTTGTAGATGGATGACAAAAGAGTAGGACTTATTCCTGCGTTATAAAGGAGATCACGGAATCCATGCAATCCCCTGCTTTTAGTTGCTTCTTTGCACAACAGAGGGATCCCTAAATAAACGCTTAGATTAGAATCTCCCCTTCTATTTCAGCCAGGTCCCCTCCCCTTCCTCTTTGCAGTCTTAGACGGGACTTCCGAGGGAGCGGCAGAAACGAGAAAGAGCGCGCGTCCCCTTCCCCATTTGAAAAACTGGGAAGAATGCGATTGTGCTGCGCGCAGGAGATGCTGTTCCGCGCCAAGGTTAGGAAAAGAGGGGAAGGAAAGGGACGGTTCCAGAAAGGGGATTTTGGAGTGGGGGCTGGGGGAGATGCATGGGACCACCCCCCAAAAATTCAGCTCAAAGAAAGTTGCAATGGGCGCGAAGGATGGTCGTGCAGCGGCTCCCCAGGAAACGAGGCAAGGCTGGAGAAACGGATTTGGGAGGGAAGGCGCGGGAGGATGCGCAGCCGACGGAAGGCGAAGCAGGATGGCTCTGGGAGGAAGGAGGAAGGCAGGTGCTGGTTGGGAAAGGGGGGGGGCTGTGCTGGGTGGGGAGGGCAGGAGACCACCCAGGATTTGGTCCCTGCTAGCACGCATAAGAAAAGGACTGGTGGGGGAGCCCCTGCTCTGCGTGCAGAAAGTCTCTGGCTCGCCTCCTGGGGTCTGCAAGAGGCATGATAGAATTGCCTAGTTGGAAGGGACCTTGAGGGTCATCTAGCTCAACCCCCTGCAATGCAGGAAAGTTTGGCCCAACGTGGGGCTCAAACCCCATGACCCTGAGATTAAGAATCGGATGCTCTACGGCCTGAGCCACACATCAGGGCTGGGGGAATGTCCTCTGGCTGAAACCCTGAACCACCGCTGCCAGTGAGGGGAAAAAGAGGAGGAGGAATGGAAGGGAGGCAGCCGTGTTACAGCTCCAGGATGGCAGAGGGAAAAGGAAAGGAAATGTTTTTTTTTTAAAAAAAAAAAGATTTTTACTAAAGTTTTCAAAGTTTATATAGAAACAAGACAAAACAAAAAAACAAAAACAAGTATACTTTCAATCCCTTATTTTCTTATAACTTACTTCCTCGACTTCCTCATACCTCCCCTTTCTGTATTCTAATGTCCAATTGTTAATTCAGCAAATCCTCTCCCTTATTTTCCATTTACATTTTTTAACCTTTCATTTCTGCACTTAACCATTACCACTGAAAACCACATATTTTCTAATCCAGCGTCATTCTAGCATTCATTAATTTTACAATGTTTCTTAAGGTAGTCTTTAAATTTCTTCCAATCTTCTTCCGCTGTCTCTCTTCCCTGGTCTCGGATTCTGCCGGTCATTTCTGCCAGTCCCATATAGTCTATCACCTTCATCTGCTATTCTTCCAAGGTGGGTAGTTCTTGCAACTTCCAATACTTTGCGATGAGTATTCTTGCTGCTGTTGTGGCATACATAAAAAAAGTTCTAGGAAAGGAAATGTTTTTAATGGTGATGTGAAAAAGATCCCCTTTCAGGCATGACTCCTTCTTTCTTCTCTGGTGGGGTTCAGCAGTGGCGTAGCGTGGGTTGTCAAAACCCGGGGCAAGGCAAGTAATTTGCGCCCCCTAACCCGTGGATTTGCACCCCCTAACCCCCAGATGTTGCGCCCGGTGCGGCCGGCCCCCCTGCACCCCCACGATACGCCACTGGGGTTCAGGAGAAAGACACCCCACTTTTAGCATGGAAACTGAGTGGGAGCTCCAGACATGGGGAGGCTCCCACAGCCTAGTTGGTAGCCCCACTTTGGGCAAAAGATTCCCGCATTGCAGGGGGTTGGACTAGATGGCCCTCATGGTCCCTTCCAACTCTACGATTTTATGGTTCATCCAGGATTGGTTTGTCTCATTGGGGTGAGAATCTGTGTCCATTTTCACAGCATCTCTCCTGCAAGCTTTCTTTGTAAGAGCTTAAATGGGATGTTGAATCAGTCCCACCCCCCACTCGATGGAGCACATCAAAGGCCCACAATCATCTCACAATTAATAGGCATTCTGGAAATAATATTATAATGTGTTTATTAGCAACAGGGAGAGAGAAAGATGCCACCGGGAGAGTTTGACCTAATTAGAAACCCTTCCTTTGCTTTGTCCCCCTGGAGATGTTGGCAAATTAGAACTAAAGAGCAATGCCTGATGTTAGGAACTTGGCCCTGGGGTGGCCTTCAGCTCTGATCCATTTCTGCCCTGCAGATGTATAAAGGCAGCTCGCTGTGACTTGCCCTACTCTCAGGCTTGGTTTGCAAAAGAGCCATCCGTTCGTGACTGTCTCAGCTGCCACCAAAAAGCTTTGTTGGGTGAGGGAAACTTCACTGGTCAGTATGAGCCAGTGCCGTCTGTCTGCTAATGGCAAAGGCGCTCTTGCTCCTCAAGCAGACTAATAAGAGCATAATAAACGTAAAACAGCAGCTCGGAAGGGAACACCTTGATGGGGGCCTGGAGGCTGGCTGGCAGCTGCCGCCATTGAGGGATGAGGGACTGAAAAGATTCTGTTATGTACGGAGTTGAATAGGATCCAAACTGCAGCAGTCTGATTGGTCCTAGAACAATAGGGTCCAAAATGCAGCAGTCTGGTTGGTCCTAGAACAATAGGATTCAGAATGCAGCAGTCTGATTGGTTCTAGAACAATGCAGCAGTATGATTGGTTGGCAGGAACTACCCAATTATGCATTGGCTTACAGTAGAATTCCAGAATTAGCCAATCATGTGCAGCCCATTGTGTAAATAATGTATATAAAGCAGAGATTTTGAGGAGACATCCATTCCTTCCTCCTCACCACTATGAGCTGAATGGAAGTTAGGGAATTCTGGGATAATATCTATAATGAATTCAAGAAATTATTCAGACTCACTTTAAAAAAACAAAGGCAGAGATCTTTCTTTTAGGCATTTTACCATTAGAAATTAAAAAAAGACATAAGACCACTGTTCATGTGTGCCACCACAGCAGCAAGAATCCTTGTGGCGAGGAAGCGGGAAAACAAAACAATACTGACAATCACAGATTGGCAGATACTCCTGCTAGAATATTTACAACTAGCAAAACTGACGGGAAGAGTTAGAGGAGTATTGAACCAGAAAATGTTTGGAGAATGGAGAATATTTAAGGATCATATAAGATCATATAAGTCAGATTAACGATATGTTATGAACTGATGTTCTCTTATGTCGTTTATTTATGTTTTTTGTATTTTTTATTCCTTTCTTTTCTTTTCTTTTCCTTTTTGGTATGTTTGTGGTTTTGATTTACATTATGCTGGGGAAAAAATAAAATAAAATAAAAAAGGGTCATATAAGATCATATTGTACCAACCACACCATATTAGCAGAACTTGAGTGATACTTGTAAACACAACAAATAACCGTTTGTGGACGGGAACAATATTAAAGAATATAAAACTGCGGAAAAAACAACGACAGTATAAACAGTACAATGAGAATGATTGGAAGATTCATTTTGTCAGAAGTCTTTTTTATTTAAGTATTAATTAGAAAGATTTTTTATGCACATAAATCTGCTTTTTCTTTCTTTTTTCTGTATTTTCTTTTTTCTCAATTGTTTTTTCTTTAATTTTCTTCTTGTAGTATGAGATTGTGTGCAATTTAAATTAATAAAGATTACTTAAAAATAATAATAATGAAAGTACAAATACAAAAAAAAGGCAGCACAGTATATCTGGAAGAGACTTAAATCAGGTTAGGACCATGAGAAAAGACAATCTTCTAGAGATGGAGTCCTGCGTATCTGTATTTGTTGTATGCGTGATAAAAATCACACCAAACCATGCGGGACCCTCAGAGCCCATTGACATGTGCTATTTCTTTCCAGTCCCATAAGCTTTTACACTTGGGGGCAAATGAACGTTAAAAGTTCCTGGGAGCTGAACCCTTTCAGCTGACTGTGCCATAGATTTCGTAAACAAATCTGTGGTAAAGTTGGGATGGGATACAGTGGTACCTTGGTTTGCAACCGTTTTGGATTACAACGTCAAACCCAGAACTGCGTGTCCATTTTTGGGGGATTACAATCCTTTTTTATTATTATTACATCCCCCTTTTTTTTGGGAGGCCCCATTGGCGAAAGCGCGCCTTGGGTTACGACCTGTTTTGGTTTACAACCGGACCTCCAGAACGGATTATGGCTGTAAACCAAGGTACCGCTGTATCTGAGTATTTTTGGCAATTTCTTCACAAACCATTTCCTACAAATTAATACCTCTGGGCAGTCCCACCATAAACTTTCACTCCATTCTGCTACATTTCCAGAAGTGAAAACTTTGTTGTTATTATTATTATTAAATTATTATTATTATTATTTCCTTGAAGGGACTCAAGGCAGCTTACAGATAATGCAGTGGTACCTCAGGTTACAGATGCTTCAGGTTACAGGTGCTTCTGGTTACAGGCTCCTCTAACCCATAAATATTACCTCGGGTTAAGAACTTTGCTTCAGGATGAGAACAGAAATTGTGCTCCAGTGGTGAAGCAGCAGCAGGAGGCCCCATTAGCTAAAGTGGTGCCTCAGGTTAAGAACAGTTTCAGGTTAAGAATGGACCTCCGGAACGAATTAAGTACTTAACCCGAGGTACCACTGTATATGGTGAATGGAATTGTATAACAACAATTGCTATGGAGTAGTGGTAATAAAGTTATGTAACCACTGCTACTGACTGCATGTTGCAAGAAACCATCAAGAGAGCAGATTTTGTGACTTTCAGAGATTTATAAGATTTTCAGCTGGGGTTGGTTATGAATTAAGTTCTTAACCCGAGGTACCATTGTAATAAGAATCGCTAAGAACATAGGGGGGGAAATATTATTTTTTAAAATAAACACTGATAGTGTGTGTACATCTAGCACACCCATTAAAACCAAACAAATAATTGCAATAAAAACAATATGGCGGCAGCCCTTTCATTAAAACAGCACTTCCCAAAAGCCTGCTGGAAAGTCTTCGCCTGCCTGCAGAAGGACAAGGAGGAGGGAGCCAGTCTAACTTCTCCAGGAAGGGAGTTCCAAAGACGGGGAGCAACCACTGAGAAGGCCCTCTCCAAGGAGCCTGTGAGACTGGTGGGGCCAAGAGAAGGCATCCCTTGAAGACCTCGGAACCTGGGCAGTTTCAAATGAGGGAACACAGTCATTCAGATAGCTTGGACATGAGTCATATATAGTTCACAACCAGCACTTGTGCCCAAAACAGACTGGTACTCCTGGTGGAGTTGTTGTAACGAGGGAGTCGTATGTTCCCCAGGCTATAACCAACCCCAGCTGAAAATCTTATAAATCTCTGAAAGTCACAAAATCTGCTCTCTTGATGGTTTCTTGCAACATGCAGTCAGTAGCAGTGGTTACATAACTTTATTACCACTACTCCATAGCAATTGTTGTTATACAATTCCATTCACCATATACAGTGGTACCTCGGGTTAAGTACTTAATTCGTTCCGGAGGCCCGTTCTTAACCTGAAACTGTTCTTAATCTGAGGGACCACTTTAGCTAATGGGGCCTCCTGCTAACGCCCTGACGCCGCTGCACAATTTCTGTTCTCATCCTGAAGCAAAGTTCTTAACCTGAAGCACTATTTCTGGGTTAGCGGAGTCTGTAACCTGAAGCGTATGTAACCTGAGGTACCACTGTAGATCGGTTTATGAAGCATTTCTGTATCCTTCTGCTGTGCTGAAGAAGAATTCCACGTAACAGTGGGTATATCCGGAATCACTGTTCACTACGTCTGTTTGCGGACTACTTTGGCAGCGCTGGACGTCATAAAACAAAGCTTTACGGCTTGTTTTCACCAAGTAAGAATCTGACCCATTGCTTCTTTCAGAAACTTGCATAGTCTACAAAGACTTTCAGAGACTTATAAGACTGTCATTTGGTTCTATGTTTTCAAGAGAATCCATCAAGAGTGCATATTTTGTGACTTTCAGAGATGTATAAGATTTCTGTTTATTTGGTTTTGCAGAGAGTGCATTTCATATATTTCATACTGTTCAGTGTTCTGTATAGATTATATAAAGGGTTTATATTGACATTTCATTGTACTTGGTCATCGTGTTGCCTTGGATATTACGATAATTGTTTGCAACACAGGGGTTTAACTGTTTGGTTACCAGCTGAAAATCTGGCTGCTGATATTTGAGTCAGTTGAAGTTTTGGAGCACTTTTCAAAGGCAGCGCCCATTCCAGTTATTGAACCTGGATGTAACTAAAGCATATGTCACTGCAGCCAAACCAGTCCTCTCGTAACACAGAAATTAGCCATATTCTTTACATGTATAGGGTTTCTTTCCTCCAAGGGTTCTCAGATGTTGAAGAAGGCTGGTGCTCACATGGCTTTTTCCACACTTCGTACCTTCCCATAACTTTGCCACTGTGTCTTTTAGTCTTTAGGAAGTCTTCCAATGTCCACACCCCATGCAGTTTTATGGGTTTTCGCCTGTGTGAGTTTTCTGAAGTCCCGAAAGGCTTGCTTTGTCACCAAAGCTTTTCCCACACCATTTTTTCTCTCCCGTATGTATTCTCTGATGTCTAGCAAGCCTACTGTTTGCACTGAAACTCTTTCCACACACTGCGCATTTAAATGGTTTCTCGCCTGTGTGCGTTCTCTGATGTAAAGTAAGAGCACTGCTGTCAATAAAGCACTTTCCACACTCCATACATTTATACGGCTTCTTTCCCGTGTGTGTTTTTTGATGTCTGCTAAGGTTACTACTCAGACTGAAGCTTTTCCCGCACACCGTGCATTTAAAGGGTCTCTCCCCTGTGTGGGTCCTTTGATGTAAAGTAAGGCCACTGCTGTCGTTGAAGCACTTCCCACAGCTGACACATTTGTACGGCTTCTCCCCTGTGTGCGTTCTCTGATGTGTCGTCAGGCTACTGCTCTGACTAAAGCTTTTCCCACACTCCACACACTTAAACGGCTTCTCCTCAGTGTGCGTTCTCTGATGTGAAGTAAAGCTACTACGAGCGCTGAAGCTTTTCCCACACTCGATGCATGTATATGGTTTCTCCCCCGTGTGGATTCTCTGATGTAATGTAAGGCTGCTGCTGCTACGGAAGCACTTTCCACACTCAGTACACTGACATGGCTTTTCCCCTGTGTGTGTTCTTTGATGTAACATCAGGTTACCGCTCTGACTGAAGCTCTTTCCACACTCCTTGCATTTAAATGGCTTTTCCCCTCTGTGGATTCTCTGGTGTTTAGTAAGGCTACTGACCTCAATGAAGCTCTTTCCACACTCGGCACATTTAAATGGTTTCTCCTCTGTGTGTGTTCTTTGGTGTAAAAGGAGGCTACTCCTCACACAAAAGCTCTTTCCACAATTCATGCAAGCATACGGTTTCTCCTCCGCATGGGTGGCTTGATGTCGAGTGAGGCTACTGCTGTCACTGAAGCACTTCCCGCACTCCATACATTTATACGGTTTCTCACCTGTATGTGTGTTTTTATGTCTAGTAAGGTTGCTTCTCAGATTGAAGCTCTTCCCACACTCGGTGCATGTATAAGGTTTCTCTCCTGTGTGGATTCTGCAATGTATATTTAAGTTCGATTGATGTCTAAATGTTTTCCCACACACCAGGCATGTTTTTCTGCTGTTCCTTTTGTTATCTTCCTGTTGGATCAGGGTTTCCTGGACAACAGCACTCTGGGAAGCAGGGACCTCCTTCCTCCTATCCTCTGAGTGGTTTCTCTCATCCCTTTTTGGTCCTCTTTGATTTCCAAGCATCTTTTTTCCTGATTCATGCTCGGCTTTTTCCAGTGACACCAAATATTTTTCCATATATTTCTCACTGCTCAATCCGTCATTTCCTGGGGGATGAGGGGAAAAAAATACGTATGAACTTCAAGGTAGAAACATGGGATATCATCACAGGTTGACCCCAATTTGCTGCTTCTCTGATTTTAGCATTTCCAAGAAATGTGGGAATTTCGTACTGCTAGCCAAGGATTCCCTGCACCACCTAACAGTGGACCTCCAGGATCTCAGCCATTATTCTAACTGGGTATCTGAAGAAGTGTGCATGCACACGAAAGCTCATACCAGTAACAAACTTAGTTGGTCTCTAAGGTGCTACTGGAAGGAATTTATTTTTGTTTCGACCACGGCAGACCAACACTGTAACTAGAACTATGGAAGGCACCACATTGAAATGGAAGTCCATCAACCACACCAAGAAACTTGCACAGCTACAGACTGACACCTTCTTTCTGACTAAATGCAAGAACCTGGACGTTATACCTAAGGGTCTTAGAATTAAGAACCCTCTACAATCCACTTCTCCTACTGAATATGCAAGGAAACTATGCCACACTTTCTCCAAGAAGCTGCTCAAACATCTGATCGGGTATCTGAAGAAGTGTGCATGCACACGAAAGCTCATACCAATAACAAACTTAGTTGGTCTCTAAGGTGCTACTGGAAGGAATTTTTTGGGGGGAAACAAGTGGAGCATCAGTTACCTACTGGATATTCAGAAGAAGATGCTGTTTTGGCGTTTGGGGCACCTGCCTTTTCCTTGTCCTGCTGTGGAAAGGACAGGCCTTCTGGCCTTGGGGCAGAGATGGGAACACATAAAAAGCCCTCAAGAACATTTGGAGGCTTCCTCATGCCAGGTCAAATTGATTCTTCATCAAACCTCCGCATGGACTCATTCAACTAGCAGGTGGATCTCCCATGATCTCAGGGCTTTCCCACCAGCTGCTAGCTGATCCCTTTCCCCCATGGAGATGCCAGAGGTTGAACATAGGATCCTCTGTGTGCAGCCAGGTGATCTTCCTGAGCTGTGTTCCTTTTCTAGACATATGTGGGGCTACCTTTGAAGGTGACCTGGAAACTACAACTAATCCAGAATGCGGCAGCTAGACTGGTGACTGGGAGTGGCCACCAAGACCACATAACACCGGTCCTGAAAGACCTACATTGGCTCCCAGTACATTTCCAAGCACAATTCAAAGTTTGGTGCTGACTTTAAAGCCCTAAATGGCTTCAGCTTTGTATACCTGAAGAAGTGTCTCCACCCCCATCATCCAAATGGGACACTGACATCCAACTCCAAGGGCCTTCTGGCGGTTCCCTCACTGCGAGAACTGAAGCTACAGGGAACCAGGCAGAGGGCCTTCTTGGTGGTGGCGCCCGCCCTGTGGAACGCCCACCCATCAGATGTCAAGGAAATAAACAACTGTCTGACTTTAGAAGACATCTGAAGGCAGCCCTGTTTAGGGAAGTTTTTAATGTTTGATGCTTTATTGTGTTTTTAATATTCTGTTGGGAGCCACACAAAGTAGCTGGGGAAACCCAGCCAGATGGGCAGGGTATAAATAATATGTGGGGAATATGCCCCAAATGTCTTCTAATCAAGGGATGGGGGTAGGGCGGGGGGAATGTGTCCTTACCTAGAGCGGACTGTGTCTCATAATTCGCCTCCATGACCTTTGGTCTGGATCCAGCAGGGCCCAATACCTCTTCGGTGAAATGCACAGCCACCTCTTTGAACGTTTATCCAGACCCTGGAGAAAGAGAATATACAGAATTTTTCTTCTCCCTCTCTCCCAACACTAGAGCTCATGAAGCTGAACGTTGGATGATTTAGGAAAAAGAAAGGAAGCACTTCTTCATGAAGCACAGAGTCAAACTATGGAACTTGCTCCTCCCAGGAGGCAAATATGGCCAGGAACTCCCTTTTTGATTTACTAAATATTATGGAAGTATCATGTAAACGCTCTATGAGCTCGCATGGGTGTAGCCAGGATTTATTTTAGGGGGAACAAGCTTTATGTTAGGGGGCAAAACTGAGTTCTCTGTGATGCAATTGGTCAGTTAGTTAAGCATTTTTATTTACTTGATTTAGGGGGAGCAGTTGCAGCCCCCTGGCTAAGCCCATGTGAGCTCTCTAAAAACAGCCCAGGCCAGCATGTCAATCCTTACTTTAAGAAGACATCTGAAGGCAGCTCTGCTTAGGGAAGTTTTTAAATGTTTGATGTTTTATTGCTTTTTTAGTAATGTTCTGTTGGGAGCCGCCCAGAGTGGCTGGGGAAACCCAGCCACATGGGCGGGGTATAAATACATTGTTGTTGTGCAGGGTATAAATAAGTTGTTGTTCCCCTCATCCCACTCCCAAATGCTGCTTCCTCTTCACCAATGCACCCCCATCGTTCTGCCCAGACACTGAGGTCCAGCTCTGAGGGCCTTCTGGTGGTTCCCTCACTGCTAGAAGCCAAGTTACAGGGAACCAGGCAGATGGCCTTCTCGGTAGTGGCACCCGCCCTGTGGAACACCCTCCCTTCAGATGTCAAAGAGAAGAACTACCAGACTTTTAGAAGACATCTGAAGGCAGCCCTCTTTAGGGAAGCTTTTAATGTTTAACAGACCACTGTATTGTTTTTATTTTATTACTTTTTTTAGACCACTGTATTTTAATACTTTGTTGGAAGCTGCCCAGAGTGGCTGAGGAAACTCAGCCAGATTGGTGGGGTATAAATAATCTATTCTATTCTATTCTATTCTATTCTATTCTATTCTATTCTATCCTATCCTATCCTATTATATTATCTGGTCCCCCTACCCAAGCTGAATATGCCCCTGGGGATATTGAGTGGCTTCCAAGAGGATTTTGCCGTATGCAATTTCTGCAGCAGTTTGTCCCACACCTTGCAGCCGCATTGCACAGATCAGACCCCAAGTATGGGCGTAGCCAGGATTTATGTTGAGGGGTGGGGAGCAGGACAGCCACCCACACCCTGTCATCATCCTCGGCCTGGATCTGCCTAGCAGATTTGGAATGAAAAGTCTCCACCAGCATTGTTTCAGATTGCTTCCTTTTGACCCCAAGTGCTCAAAAACCTATCTACAATTTTTGTGGCTTTTAAAGAAGAACGGGAACTTTTTACAAATTATTTAAAAAGACAACAAAATGAATTGGACTCCTTGGCATTGATGGTTAATATAGTAGACAGATAATATAAGGCTGTATACAATTTTACAATATGCAGAGATTAATATGAGTTGAGAAATCAGAGAGAGGAGCTGAGGGAAGTCTGGGGGGGAAGGAGGGAGGGTTTAATAATAATAATAATAATAATAATAATAATAATATCTTTATTGTCATTGCCCCCTCTCGGGGAGGTGGGGGAAGGGAGGAATAATGAAGATGATTTGTTTTGATAATTTCATGAAATTGTTAATAATTTTTTTAAAAAAACAAACACCTATCTACAATTTCTACTTTTAGTTAAGTATTTTTATTTATTTAGCGGGGTGGGGTGCAGCTGCAACCCCTCCTGGCTATGCCCATGGAGTGGGGGGCTCTTTCCTCCTTCCCCCAACCCCCACGCCCCCCCATGCATTGCACCTCTTTGTCCTCTGCGCGCTCCAGCCTCCCTCTCTCCAAGACTCGTCCTCTCCCATTGAGCATGGAGGGGTTTCCAACAGCCCCACTCCCCACTCCCCTTGCGACGGCAGCTTCCTGCCTCTCTAGGAAACCACAGCTCGGCTCAGCTGTCCAGTGGGAGGACTGAGCGACAGGAGCTAGCTGCCCCCACTTTCCTCTTGCTACTCCCTTGAGGTTGTGCAGGGGTCAGCAAACTTTTTCAGCAGGGGGCCAGTCCACTGTCCCTCAGACCTTGTGGGGGGGGCAGACTATTTTGGAGAGGGGAATGAACAAATTCCTATGCCCCACAAATAACCCAGAGATGCATTTTAAATAAAAGGACACATTCTATTCATGCCTTAGTTTGCCTACCTATGTGCTGGAGGCTGCAGAAAGCAACGCTGGTGGGACACACATCTGGCCAGGCTTTCCCCATCCTGCGCTGAGATTCCTGAACTGGAAGGGGTTGGACTAGATGGCCCTCGGTGTCCCTTCCAACTCTGCAATTCTACGATCATGCGACGTTTCCAGCTCTCTTCCTTCTCGGGAGATTTGGGGAGCCTGCAAAAGAACTCTCCAGCTCAGTGGCGTAGCGAGGGTTGTCAGCACCCGGGGCAAGGCAAGTAATTTGCGCCCCCTAACCCGTGGATTTGTGCCCCCTAACCCGTGGATTTACGCCCCCTAACCCCCAGATGTTGCGCCGGGTGCGGCCGGCCCCCCTGCACCCCCCACGCTACCCACTGCTCCAGCTGCAGCGCTTAAAAACAGCACAGGGGAGCAAAACGCAGGTGCCTCCGCCTCCTCCCCGAGGCTGCTTCGCCCCCAGGAATGTGCCCTTTCCCTCCCAAGCTAAATAAATCTCCCCAGGGGAGACTGAGCTGATCTCTGTGCAGGGGACAGGGACCCAAAGATGATCTTGCAATGCAAAGGCTGCGCCACTTTGAAGATCCCCTGTGGTCCTTTGCACAGGGGCATTTCGAAGCTCTCTCTCCCCCATTTGGGGAACGTGCCCCCCCCGCACCCTTAACTCTCCCTCCCCTCAAGCTCCCTGCGCTAAAATACAACACCGGGATGTGGGGGGGAGGTGGAGGAATCCTCAGCGCGCCTCATGGAGGAACCCAGCGCCAGATGGACGCGAAAGGAGATGTACGGTATTTTTCTTCTTCCCCACATTAAATGGGCGGGGGGGGGGAGTTGCAACCAGCGGTAGGCAAAGGGGAGGGGGGACACTCGGTCCTCCACTGGGCTCTGCTTCCCGGAGAAGCAGGAAATTGCCATCCAAAGGCGGCGGCCTTGCAGAAGCGCCCCGGGGAAGCGCGCGCGCAAAGGAGAGGCTGCAAAGCGCCGAGGTGCGATTTTTGTGGAGCAGTGAAAGGAAAGACGGGGGAGGGGACCCAAGGAGGATTTGTTTGAGGGTAATGAAGGGGGAAACACCTCCCCTCCCACGCGGAGCACTTTTCCCCGGGAAATGCACGGGGTGGGGTCGTGGATGATCCGCGCTGTGCACTTGCGTCGTGCGGCCCAGGGTGCTGCTGGATCGCCCAATGCAAGGACCCCCCTTTTAAAACCACCCCCCCCCAGCTCTGAAAAGAAAGGCGCAGCCTTCATTGATGGGAGCGGGGGAACATGCAGCCCGGACAGGAGAAACTCGCTATGGGGGAAACAGCCTTGCTGGGGGGGGGGGTATTAGAATTGCTGCTGGGGGTGGGGGCAGGTGGGGGGTTTGCGTGAGACTTTTGCGCCCCCGGAGCTTTGAATGTCCGAGGTCATCAGAAAGCCTGACGGGTTTAAATAGGGGGCGGGACGGGGCGCCGCGTGTTTAAAACTGAGGTCGGCTTCCGGGATGGTTTCATAGAGCAATGCAATGGGTTTACTTTGGATCCCTGGATTTTTTGTTCTCAGGAAAAGACTCGGCCTGCTGTGTTTCCTGGAAAGACATTCTCAAAGCAGACTTGATGTCTTCGCTGGAAAGAGAAGAACCAATTCTCCCGGCCTCTGGGGAAGGAGAGAGATTGGCAGGTACAGATTTTCAAGCCGTCAAGGGAAAAGGCTATACAGTCATACTTTGGGTTACAGACGCTTCAGGTTGCATTTTTTTAGGTTACGGACACGCCGAAACCTGGAAGTATGGGAATGGGTTACTTCCGGGTTTTGGCAGCCGTGCATGCGCAGAAGCACTAAATCGTACTTTGTGCATGTGCAGAAGCGGTGAATCGCAACCCACGCATGCGCTGCGGGTTGCGAACGTGCCTTCCGCACAGATCACGTTCGCAATCCGAGTATCCACTGTACAGTAATGGGAATAGCACAAGGTAGCAAACTTGGATAGCGTTAATCTTGAGCCACCCTCAACCTTTGGGGAAAATCCAGAGATCAGTGTTAGATTACAGTCTTTGGATGTTGAAATTCTAAGGTTCAGTCCTGTCTTTGTGCAGAGCAGTTGTTTTCAACCAGTGTGCCCTGGCACCCTGGGGTGCCTTGAAGGATGGTCAGGGGTGCCTTGGACAACACCGGCATCTGTCCCTTCCTTCCTTCCTTCCTTCCTTCCTTCCTTCCTTCCTTCCTTCCTTCTTTCCTTCTCTCCTCGGATGCCCTCTTGCATCTCTGCGTCCCAAAGGCTTACACAGCTGTTTCTGGCAGCAGCCCTGGCTACAAGCTCCACAGGTGAATGGTCCTCTGGGGCAGGCCAGAGGGTGCTTCCCAGGCCCCTGTGGGGCAGTGTGATGAGGCAGTGCAAGGAGGTGTGGCAGCTCAGAGACCTGGCCGGGCAACAGCAGCTGCCCAGAGGTCTCCAGGGGGAGGGGAGAGGAGAGGAGAGGAGGTTGAGGGAACACTCCACAATGGAGGGTGTTCAAAAAGGGTGAGAGGCTGCCGGCTCTGCAGGCAAGGGGTGGCATAACTGGGCTCCTCAGTCCCACATGGGTGCCACAGGAAGATTGTAGCTGGTCAAGGCAGCCATGGACTAAGAAAAGGTTAAAAACCTCTGCTGCAGAGGGATCTGAAGGCAAGGGAACAGACACATCTGATGTCAAGCGGGATATTGGCCAGGATAGAGTTTATATTGTCCTCCTGCAGGGCAGCATATTCAGAAGGTAAACCCAGCTTTGGTGTCTGCAAATAACATAAAATAATGCACCCATATACACAAAGCTCACAATCCTTTGTTTTCTGCTGGAAATTCAAAAAAGTTTTCTTTTTCTTAACCCTTACCCCAGACGATGGGCGGAATAATGGAAATTCTAGGGAGACCTCTATGCTATCGTCCGAAATTCCTGCAGCTGAAGAAGGAAAAGAGATGGTTGCAGATGAAAGTGAACTTAAGAAGCACAGAGAAGAGAAATCCTCACCTTCTCTGGAGGTTAATGCCCATGAACCCCAAATCCTGCAGGAAGATGGACAAGGAAACAGCCAGAAAATATGCCCCGTGTGTGGGAAGATATTTAGATACGAATCAAACTTAAATAGGCATTGCAGAAGCCACACGGGGGAGAAGCCATTTAAGTGCACTGAGTGTGGAAAGAGCTTGAGCTCAAGTTGGAGCCTTCTTACACATCTAAGAACCCACACAGGGGTGAAACCCTTTAAATGTGTGGACTGTGGAAAGAGTTTCAGCGAGAGCAGTACCCTCCTTACACATACGAGAACACACACTGGGGAGAAACCATTTAAATGCACGGAATGTGGGAAAACCTTCAGTAGGAACACTCACCTTACTTCCCATCAGAGAACTCACACGGGGGAGAAACCTTTTAAATGCATGGAGTGTGGAAAGAGCTATACTGTTAGTAGTGGCCTTACTCAACATCAAAGAACCCACACAGGAGAAAAACCATTTAAATGTACAGAGTGCGGAAAGGGCTTCAAGCAGCCCAGCCACCTTACTATACATTACAGAACACACACCGGGGAGAAGCCATTGACATGCCTGGAATGCGGGAAGAGATTCAGCCAGCTCATTAACCTGACTTCACATCAGAGAATACACACAGGGGATAAACCCTTTCAGTGCATGGAATGTGGGAAGAGCTTCACTGATAGTAGCGGCCTTGCTCAACATCAGAGAACTCACACAGGGGAGAAGCCATTTAAATGTACCGAGTGCGGGAAAAGCTTCCAACGTCCCAGCCGCCTTACTCTACATTACAGAACCCACACCGGGGAGAAGCCATTTAAATGCATGGAATGTGGGAAGAGCTTCAGCCAGCCTGGTCACCTTACTCTACATCAGACAACACACACACGGGAGAAACCATTTGAGTGTACGAAATGTGGGAAGCGCTTCAGGAAGAATGGAAGCCTTGCTTTGCATCACCAGACGCACACAGCAGGAACCATTTAGTTGCATGGAAAGTGCGAAAAACTACTGTAAGCTCATTCAGCTTACCTTACATGACATTAGAGAACACACTGGGGAGAAACCATTTGGAAATGGGGAATGTGGGAGAAAGTTTGTTTACAGGAATAGACTATGCCTACAATCACACTGGAGAGGAACCCTTTAAATGCTTCAGTGCGGAAATAACTTTTGTGACAGCATCAGTCTCATTCCTTAAGGCCTTTTTTTTGCCCTTGGCAACATTCAACGTTCCCCCGCCCATCCCTCTTGCTGCCTTCCCAAAGCCAGGTAAACAAGGCGCTGGGCTTTGGGAAGGAGGCATGAAGGCTCTGAGAGGGTCCTAAAGTCTTCCCACCTGTCAGGGTGCAGTCAGCAGCTCTTGGCCCAGGAAAGTATAAAGACACGGAAAAGTCCTTCCCCCCCCCAAGTCCCGAGTGAATCTCCACCCCCAGTCTCTCCCACTTCCTCACTTGTCATCATCACCTCCTCTACAGGTGCTGCTAAGTGCCCTCTGTCTTTGAGCTCTTTACTCTCCTACTTTTAAGGCTCACCGGGTTCTGGGAGATGGTGGGTCTGGAATGCTTTCTAGTAGCAACTGATCATAGAATCATAGAATCATAGAATCATAGAGTTGGAAGAGACCACAAGGGCCATCGAGTCCAACCCCCTGCCAAGCAGGAAACACCATCAGAGCACTCCTGACATATGGTTGTCAAGCCTCTGCTTAAAGACCTCCAAAGAAGGAGACTCCACCACACTCCTTGGCAGCAAATTCCACTGTCGAACAGCTCTTACTGTCAGGAAGTTCTTCCTAATGTTTAGGTGGAATCTTCTTTCTTGTAGTTTGGATCCATTGCTCCGTGTCCGCTTCTCTGGAGCAGCAGAAAACAGCCTTTCTCCCTCCTCTATGTGACATCCTTTTATATATTTGTACATGGCTATCATATCACCCCGTAACCTCCTCTTCTCCAGGCTAAACATGCCCAGCTCCCTTAGCCGTTCCTCATAAGGCATCGTTTCCAGGCCTTTGACCATTTTGGTTGCCCTCCTCTGGACACATTCGAGTTTGTCAGTGTCCTTCTTGAACTGTGGTGCCCAGAACTGGACACAGTACTCCAGGTGAGGTCTGACCAGAGCCTGCTGCTGCTCTGCCTCTCCCATCATTTCCCAACTTTCCCCCTCATCTGCCTCTAAGCCGTTATAACCTCAAACCCGTTGTAAATCTGTACTGTCTTCCTCCTCCCTGAAAGGGTCAGGATGGGGTCTCCACTACTCCTCCTCAACCCAGCCCCTCACACCACCTCCTTCCCAAACTCTAGTAAGCATTTCCTCAGCTTAGGGAAGAAGAGAAGAGGAGTTTGGATTTGGTATCCCGCTTTATCACTACCCGAAGGAGTCTCAAAGTGGCTAACATTCTCCTTTCCCTTCCTCCCCCACAACAAACACTCTGTGAGGTGAGTGGGGCTGAGAGACTTCAGAGAAGTGTGACTAGCCCAAAGTCACCCAGCAGCTGCATGTGGAGGAGCGGGGAAGCGAACCCGGTTCACCAGATTACGAGTCCACCACTCTTAACCACTACACCACACCCTGCCAGAGCCTCTCACCTCTTTCCCAAAGCCCAACACTTTACTTCCCCAGCTTTCGGAAGGCTGTGCAAGTGGGAGGGGCATCAAATTTTGGACTCCCCTACAATGTGACAAGGCAAAGGGGGGTGCCTGTGGGTTGTGTAAAAGTACTTTTGCAGGAGACTGAGAAAGAGGTGGAAACTAGGCCGTTTTGGGGGTTCCCTTTATGCAAAGTTTGCTTCAGGATGCTTGACCTACAAAGGAGATAGAAACCCTAGATCAGAACTTTCCAAACTAAAGGGGTTTGCTTGCAAAACTGAATCACTGTGTTGCGAACTGATGCATGTCCAAAAAGTGTGTCGCCAACGTGAAAAGTTAGGAAAGCTCTGCCCTAGATCTTGGACGTAGACTTTCTTTGGATAAATAACAACAGTATTTGGAAGGAGTTTATACAAAATGTAGTTGCCTATTAATATTTACATATGTATTAGGATAGTAATATCAAATTTATAAAAGAATGTGTGGGTTAGGGCGCTTTTTGTATATTGTATATTTGGGGGGGTCCCTACCCATTTTTGTGCCTTTTTCTCTTCTCTTTTTCTTTGCATCACTTTATTCCGAAACCTTTTCAATAAAATATTAATAAAAGAAAGAAAAGAGAATGATCACAATTTCTCTACATATGTACAAGTGCTTGTGTGAAAGAAATTACACTCACGGATCTCTGCATCTAAACCCAGCAATAAGGACTCTTTATGTTTGTAGTCTCAGGAGCAGAAACCACCACCGTCTGCAGTAGTATGCTTGGGGTTTCCACAAAATTCTTAGTTTGAGTAGCCTACACAAATACACAGGGCTCCTCGCTTGCAGCGACTTCAAAGGTTTAGTCTCTGGCACGCACTGCTATGTGCAATTGCTATTATTATTATTATTATTATTATTATTAATACCCCAGCCATCTGGCTGGGTTTCCCCAGCCACTCTAAGCAGCTTACAGCATATATTAACTACTTTGCTATGCCTCTGGTGTCTCCCAGGTCCCTTACCTTTCCCGCCCCGACCTGGCCACAGTGATCCATGCGATGGTCACCTCCAGGCTTGACTACTGTAATTCGCTCTACATGGGGCTGCCCTTGAAGCTGTCCCAGAAACTCCAGCGGGTACAGAATGCTGCAGCGAGGCTCCTCACGGGGTCTCTGCCATGGGAGCATATTCACCCAGTGCTTGTCCAGCTGCACTGGCTCCCGGTGGAGTACAGGGTCAGATTTAAGGTGCTGCTTTTGACCTTTAAAGCCCTTCACGGCCTAGGACCCTCGTACCTACGGGACCGCCTCTCCCGGTATGCCCCACAGAGGACCTTAAGGTCCATAAATAGCAACACCCTAGTGGTCCCGGGCCCTAAGGAAGTTAGACTGGCTTCAACCAGAGCCAGGGCCTTTTCAACACTGGCCCCGGCCTGGTGGAACGCTCTGCCTCATGAGACCAGGGCCCTGCAGGATCTGATTTCTTTCTGCAGGGCCTGTAAGACAGAGTTGTTCCGCCTGGCCTTTGGCTTGGAGCCAATTTGATTCCCTCCCTCCCTCTCTTTCTTTTTTCTTTTCCTTCTCCTCCTGCAATGAGGCTACATTTTAATACTCCATTATTTTAATGTTGTATTTTATTTTTGTTTTTAAGTTGTAACCATTCTTCTTGTTTTTATTATTGCTTGTAAGCCACTCTGAGCCCGGCCTTGGCTGGGGAGGGCGGGGTGTAAATAAAAAATTATTATTATTATTATTACTATTATTATTATTGTGGAGCTTCTCCTCTAGCTCTGCTACAGTGATTGAGCCACTTCATCTAAGTCAGACTTCCTCAACCTCGGCCCTCCAGATGTTTTTGGCCTACAACTCCCATGAACCCTACCGAGCAGGACCAGTGGTCAGGGATGATGGGAACTAGTCTCAAAACATCTGGAGGGCCAAGGTTGAGGAAGCCTGGTCTAAGTGAAGCCTGTGACTTGCTCCCAAGGCCCCAGCTCCACTGATGGTTGGGACAACCAGTTACATGTTTAATAAAGCATTTAAAACTGAACCAGCACTGTGGCTCACCTGGTCATATAACAGCATATTGGAGCGTGCTAATGTGGCAGCTAGACTTGTGACTGAGGAGCAGCCGCCGAGACCATATAACACTGGTCCTGAAAGACGTACATTGGCTCCCGGTACGTTACCAAGCACATTTCAAAGTGTTGGTGCTGACCTTTAAAGCCCTAAAGGGCCTTGGCCCAGTATACCTGAAGGAGCGCCTCCACCCCCATCTTTCAGCCCGGACACTGAGGTCCAGCTCTGAGGGCCATCTGGTGGTTGCCTCCCTGCGAGAAGCGAGGTTACAGGGAACAAGGCAAAGGGCCTTCTTGGTAGTGGCGCCCGCCCTGTGGAACGCCGTCCCACCAGATGTCAAGGAAATAAACAACTATCTGACTTTTAGAAGCCATCTGAAGGCTGTTTAGGGAAGTTTTTAACGTTTGATGTTTTATCACTTTATTAATAATAATATTCTGTTGGGAGCCGCCCAGAGCGGCTGGGGAAGGGGTCTTCAGCTGGTAAGCTCCTACTGCCCAACTTACCAGGATGTAATAATAATAATAATAATAATAATAATAATAATAATAATAATAATAATTTATTTGTACCCCGCCCAGCTGGCTGGGCTTCCCCAGCCACTCTGGGCGGCTTCCAACAAAGATTAAAAATACCGTATTTTTCGCTCTATAAGACGCACCAGACCATGAGACGCACCTAGTTTTTGGAGGAGGAAAACAAGAAGAAAAAAATTCTGAATCTCAGAAGCCAGAATAGCAAGAGGGATCGCTGTGCAGCGAAAGCAGCAATCCCTCTTGCTGTTCTGGATTCTGTGATAGCTGCGCAGCCTGCATTCGCTCCATAAGACGCACACACATTTCCCCTTACTTTTTAGGAGGGAAAATGTGAGTCTTATAGAGCAAAAAATACGGTACATTAAAATGTCACACATTAAAAACTTCCCTGAACAGGGCTGTCTTCAGATGTCTTCTAAATGTCAGGTAGTTGTTTATCTCTTTGACATCTGATGGGAGGGCGTTCCACAGGGTGGGCGCCACTACTGAAAAGGCCCTCTGCCTGATTCCCTGTAGCTTTGCTTCTCGCAGTGAGGAAACTGCAAGAACGCTCTCAGCGCTGGACCTCAGCGTCCGGGCAGAACGATGGAGGTGGAGACGCTCCTTCAGGTATACTGGGCCGAGGCCGTTTAGGGCCTTAAAGGTCAGCACCAACACTTTGAATTGTGCTCGGAAACGTACTGGGAGCCAATGCAGGTCTTTCAAGACCGGTGTTATATGGTCTCGGCGGCCGCTCCCAGTCACCAGTCTAGCTGCCACATCCTGGATTAGTTGTAGTTTCCGAGTCACCTTCAAAGGTAGCCCCACGTAGAGCGCATTGCAGTAGTCCAAGCGGGACCGTAATGGCAGGATCCCAAGGAGAGCTGGCTTCAGGCACCAGACCCGTGGGCAGACCAACTCTACGTTACAAAGATGTCTGCAAGCGCCGCATGCAGACCTGCAACACCAGTCCCTCCATGTGAGAATCCCTTTCAGACAACCGCAGTGCCTGGGGACAGTCAGGCTGTGCATCCATTGCAGCGACCACAGGAGGAATGATCTCTGGGAGAAGTGCAGAGAGAAGAGACGCCATGGTTCATCTGCAACAGCGCAAATGAACACGTTTATCTGCCCAAGCCGCAATGGAATTGTCAGAGCTGCTCCCAGATCCTAGCTCACAGAGGATCACGCTAGCCAGCGGTCACTTGTAAAAGTCTTTTATTGAGTTACAGTTTCCATTCTCAAGCTGCTGCGCGCAGCTCTACGTCTTAAGGGTTAGACCGGCGAAGCTCCGTCTGAGTCTCCGCCCCCTGTACACCAACTTAATACCCTAGCCTTACTCCACCTTTTCCGCCTGACTGTTCTTCTCTGGGTCCCTCTGCCCCCGGGGTCTCTTCCTTCCGGGATTCCTCTGACGCTGACCCCCCGGACCCTCCTGTCTCCTTGCGCCGGGCTTTAGGACCTGGCTCCCTTTCCGGGCTGCTTACTGCGCCACCTTCCTGTGCATTTGAACTTGGCGCGCGCGCCCAACCTTCCACTTTCCGTCTGACCGTTTCTTCGCTCCCCGATGGAGGTGTGGCCACTCCTGACTCGTGCCCTCCCCCTTGTTGTGAGCTTCCAGCGCTTGATACCTGGCGCCCTTCCTCTCCCCTGCTCTCTGTGGGTGACGCTGGTCCCGATTTCCCACTGCTCCCCTCTGAGCCCCCTCTGGCCCTTTCTTCCTGGGGTGTCCCCCTAGGCTCCCCCCTTGCCCTGGCCACTGGTGCTCCTTTCTGTGAATCTTCTGATTCACTGGAAAGACTCGGAGATCTCGGGTCGTCGTCATCACTCATCTTTTCTTCTGCCTCCTCCCCCTCGCTCTCTGTTTTCTCCCTTGCCCTTGCCTCTGCTCCTGAACCCCTGACAGGAATAGATCTCTCCCCTATCGATCTCTGCAGCCACTGTAGGTTTTCTAACCTTCCAACAGCCGATTTCACCCCCAAAGGTGCACCCCCCCGAAACAGATGGATGCCAACTAAATACCATACCCACAATTAATGTGCATAAGCTCCCAGTGGCTCTAATGTTCCTGGACACTTTTATGGCATCTGACAGGGTGGAATGGGGAATCCTCAAGGCTTTCTTGGCACAATTAGGACTTGGAAAACACTTTTTGAGTCTTAACCAAATGTGTTCCACTTTGTGGGCAGCCATTTGCACAAATGGTATGGAGTATCTAATAAAGTACTATAATCAAAGCCAATATGAAGTGACAGATTAGGACCTCCTGGAACACCGGCTGTGTCCTGTACAGCATCCTTAAAAACAGTATTCTTTTTCTGTGGTATCTGCAATCTGCTTTATTTAAAACACATCAACAAAAGACCAATGAACGCATTTTAGTTTATGAAAGGCATAAGTTTAACCCACAAAGTATCAAGGAAAATCAAAGGTGCATTATACATACAGTGGTACCTCGCAAGACGAAAGAGTTTTTCGTTTTTTGAGTTGCTTCGCAAGACGAATTTCCCTATGGGCTTGCTTCACAAGATGAAAAACGAAAACGTCCTTTTTGTTAAAACCGTTTAATGCATTCCTATGGCAAACCGTGCTTCGCAAGACGAAAAATTCGCAAGACAAAAAAACTCGCAGAACGAATTAATTTCGTCTTGCGAGGCACCACTGTAGAAACTATTAGGATGCCAAGATTATGTGAGAAAATGAAACTATATTCAAGTATTAGGTAAATAGGCTGTTATACATACGTGCTACATCAAGCAACTTAAAAGGAAAAAAAGTCTTATCCACTGCTAAATCCTACATTGGCCCTTCTAAATTTCCCCGGCCCTTTAGGTAAAGCTTCCTACATTTCCATTTTCCCCTGACTGCAAAGTATTAGAAGGGAACAGGCTTCTGGGGGTTTTACACGCAAGATAGCAGGAAGCAGTCTGGTGTCCAGGAATGAAGATAATGGATTGCCTCCCATTTTTCTTATTTACATTCTCAAAAAAACTCACGTGGTCCCAAACTTTGCCTCTTCACCTCTGCCATCCTTCCCATCACTTCCTGAAAGTTAGTTTCTACTCTCTCCAATACTTACTTACTTTACCTCCCTCCCTCCTTCCTTCCTGCAACAATTCACATCTTGCAAAGGACAGGTATATCCCCATCCCAACTAAATCTTCATTTCCTGCCCCAGAAGTTCTGCTAGGTTTTATTGTATGCTTTGCCAAGTTTTGCTGGCTACAGGGAAATGCCAGCTTCCTTGAGACTTCCTGCTGAAGTGCCAGAGAAAGCTTTCATCCCTGGGCTTGTTCTTCATTTACAAACTCATCACTCCCAAACCCTACTTAACCTTCCTCTCCCCAATGTTTTCATAGAATCATAGCATCTCAACTCCCTGCAATGTTGGAATTTTGGATAAAGCACCGAGGGAAACAGTTCCACTGTTGAAGAGCTTACTGTCAGAAAGTTTTTCCATATGTTTAGTCGGAATCTCCTTTCTTGTAACTGGAAGCCATTGGTTAGAGTCCTACCTTCCAGAGCAGGAGAAAACAAGCTTGCTCCATCTCCCATGTGACAGCCCTTCAGATATTTGAAGATGGCTATCATGTTTCCTCTCAGTCTCCTCTTTTCCAGGCTAAACATACCTAGCTCCTTCAACCATTCCTCACAAGGCTCAGCTTCCAGATCCTTGACCATCCCTTCTAAAATAAGCTGAAGACCCTACAATGTCTGCTCACTTCATTACTATGGGACTGCCTCTCCTGGTATGCCCCGCAGAGGACCTTAAGGTCCATGAATAAACATAATTTAGAGGTCCCGGGCCCTAAGGAAGTCAGACTATCCTCCACCAGGGCCAGGGCCTTCTCAGTGATGGCTCCGACCTGGTGGAATGCTCTGTCCCATGAGACCAGGGCCCTTCAGGATTTAACCTCCTTCCGTTGGGCCTGTAAGACAGAGCTATTCCGCCCGGCTTTCAATTTGAACTTAGCCTGATCTTTTATTTCCCTCCCCTCCCCTCCCCTTTTATGAAGATAACCCGCTCTGAGACCCCACAGCTAATTCTCCCCTGGCCTCCTCGCTGGCCCAGGTAGGACCAATTCAGCCAGCTAGCCCTGGAGATTATCTAATTGATTTTTGAATTTTATTGTTATTCATGTTTTTATACTGTATTTTATGCTGCTTTTGTAATTAAGTGTTTTAAAGTGTTTTAAATTTGTTCAGCTGCCCTGGGTCCGGTTTTTGAACTGGGAAGGGCAGGGTATAAATATCCTAGGGTCCAAATTCCCGGCCTGCAGGCTCCAGAGAAGTGCAAGATGCTATTACCTCTCTAGTGCATAAGAAAGATTAAAGTCAGTCCTGTTGAGTTCTCTCCAGGGAACGGGGAGGGACCACCACCTTTTCCTTAAGTTGCAGGATGACTGGGGCTGACCCTGATAAGAACTTGTCAAGCAGTTCTTTTGCAATCAATTGTGATCACAGTTCGCTATTCCACTACACCTATAATTGACATAGGAACGCTAGTAACAAAATGGTCAAACATTCTATTTTCTACAGTTCATAATACTTTTGCATGTATTACATTGCCGTTCATTTCTCTCAAATGTTAACTGTTTACAGAACCGCTGGTCCAGCATCTAATTGATTGTAGGAAATGAAAGCCTGCTCCTTAATCAGTGTGCTTAGATTTTCAGGTGTCGAATGACCTCTTTCTAACTTCCTTTCATTCTTACGGTGTTCCTGGGGTAGCTTCTTCCATGTGAAACAAGAGTGCTGTGTCACTGATGCTCTTTTGAGGTTCAATTAATTTGTTGGGATTCCTGCTGGGTGCATTCTTTCGTGGAAGGTAACTCCTGTCCCTGAAGCGCTTTCCCCATTTCATACACTTATAGGCTTCCTTCTCTTTGTGGGTCCTTTGAGGAAGAGAAAGAGGAGTACTTTCTACAGTAAGGCCTGTACCCTCAAGAAAACTCCAAACTGGGCATTCTTTGATGTAAAGGAAGGACATTGCTAACACTAAACTCTTTCTTCACTCTACATTCAAATGTGTTTACTGGTTGCGAAAATCAGACGCTGGACTAAATAGACTATGGGCCTGATCCACCAAGACACTTCTTTATGTGCTCATTATCCTCTGTGTGTCTTCTTCGATTTGAAGGAAGGCAACTATTCACACTAAGCCTTCCACATTCTCTGCATGTAAAAGCTTCCCCCCCCCCCAGAAAGCCGTGTCCCGTGATGGAAATTAAGCTGAGCTTACAGAAGCTTTTTCCCACATCCAACACATCTAAATGGTTCCTTCTGTGTGTTTTTTGTGGTGTAAAGTAAGGCTTTTCTTCTTTGCGAAGCTCCTCCCACATTCTGCACATTTAAACGGTTTCTCCCCAGTGTGTGTCCTGGAATGAGAAATGAGGTTGCTGCTGTTACAAAACCTCTTCCCACACTCCCTGCACTCAAAGGGTTTCTCCCCTGTGTGGGTCCTGCGATGGGAAGCAAGGTTGACGAGCTGCCTGAAGCTCTTCCCACAGTCCAGGCATTTAAATGGCTTCTCCCCGGTGTGGATTCTATAATGTAGAGTAAGGCGGCTGGGCTGTTGGAAGCTCTTTCCGCACTCCGTGCATTTAAACGGTTTCTCCCCTGTGTGGGTTCTCTGATGTTGAGCAAGGCCACTACTATCAGTGAAGCTCTTCCCGCATTCCATGCATTTAAAGGGTTTCTCCCCGGTGTGTATTCTCTGATGGGAAGTAAGGTTAACCAGCTGGCTGAAGTTCTTCCCGCATTCCATGCATTTGAATGGCTTCTCCCCAGTGTGCGTTCTGTAATGTATCGTAAGGTGGTTGGGCTGCTTGAAACCCTTTCCGCACTCTGTACATTTAAATGGTTTCTCCCCTGTGTGGGTTCTCTGATGCTGAGTAAGGCCGCTGCTGTCGCCAAAGCACTTCCCACATTCCATGCATTTAAATAGCTTCTCCTCTGTGTGGATAATGCTATGTGAAGTCAGGTTAATGAGCTGATTGAAGGTCCGTCCACACTCAAAGCACTTAAATGGCTTCTCCCTTGTGTGTGTTCTCTGATGCAAAGTAAGTTGCGTGTTCCTACTGAAGGTTTTCCCACATTCCGTGCATTTAAACGGTTTCTCCCCAGTGTGTGTTCTCGTATGTGTAAGGAGGGTACTGCTCTCACGGAAACTCTTTCCGCACTCCATGCATTTAAACGGTTTCAGCCCGGTGTGGCTTCTTAGATGTTTAAGAAGGCTGCAGCTGGAGCTCAAGTTCTTTCCACACTCAGTGCACTTAAATGGCTTCTCCCCCGTGTGGCTTCTGCAATGCCTATTTAACTTTGATTCGTATCTAAATATCTTCCCACACACGGGGCATATTTTCTGGCTGTTTCCTTGTCCATCTTCCTGCAGGATTTGGGGTTCATGGGCATTAACCTCCAGAGAAGGTGAGGATTTCTCTTCTCTGTGCTTCTTAGGTTCACTTTCATCTGCAACCATCTCTTTTCCTTCTTCAGCTGCAGGAGTTTCTGACGATAGCATAGAATTCCCATTATTCTGCCCATCATCTGGGGTGGGGGTTGAGAAAAAGGAAACTTTTTTGAATTTCCAGCAGAAAACAAAGGATTTCAAACTTTGTGTATATGGGTGCATTATTTAATGTTATTTGCAGACACCAAAAGCTGGGTTTACCTTCTGAATATGCTGAAAAAGAGTTTGGATTTGATATCCCGCATTTCACTCCCTTTAAGGAGTCTCAAAGCGGCTAACGTTCTCCTTTCCCTTCCTCCCCCACAACAAACACTCTGTGAGGTGAGTGAGGCTGAGAGACTTCAGAGAAGTGTGACTGGCCCAAGGTCACCCAGCAGCTGCATGTGGAGGAGCAGGGATGTGAACCCGGTTCCCCAGATTACGAGACTACCGCTCTTAACCACTACACCACACTGGCTCTCGAGGAGGGCTCCTCCAGGAGGACAATATAAACTCCAGCCAGGCCAATATCCCAGCAGGCACATATGTCTGTTCCCTTGCCTTCAGATCCCTCTGCAGCAGAGGTTTTCAACCTTTTTTGGGCCCAAGGCTCCCTCAACCAACTGCAATAATTCTGCAGCACCCCTGTGGGGCTCAGGAGCCCAGTTATGTCACCCCTTGCCTACAGAGCTTGCAGCCTCTCACCCTGTTTCGAACACCCTTCCTTGTGGAGTGTTCCCTCAGCCTCCTCTCCTCTCTCCTCTCCTTGGGCAGCTGCTGTTGCCCGGCCAGGTCTCTGAGCTGCCCCACCTCCTTGCACTGCCTCCTCACACTGCCCCACAGGGGCCTGGGAAGCACCCTCTGGCCAGTCCCAGAGGACCATTCACCTGGCGAGCTGGTAGCCAGGGCTGCTGCCACAAACAGCTGTGCAAGCCTTTGGGACACAGAGACGCAAGAGGGCATCCGAGGAGGGAGGGAAGGAAAGAGGGACAGGGCCAATGTTACCTGGGGAGCCCCTGAGCATCCTTCAAGGGTGCCACAGCACACTGGTTGAAAACCACCCTCTGCAGAGTTTCAGATGGGAACACTGTTGATTGCAAGGACAGGACTGAACCTTTGGATTTCTACATCCAAAGACTGTGTTCCTGTTGAATGGTTTCTTTAAATTTTAGGTTTCATTATTGTTTCACAAGATGTGTACAGTGGAACCTCGGGTTACATACCCTTCAGGTTACATACACTTCAGGTTACAGACTCCGCTATCCCAGAAATATTACAGTGGTGCCTCGCAAGACGAAAATAATCCGTTCCGCGATTCTCTTCGTCTAGCGGTTTGTTCGTCTTGCGAAGCAACCCTATTAGCGGCTTAGCGGATTAGCGCTATTAGCGGTTTAGCGGCTATTAAAGGCTTAGCGGCTTAGCGGCTTAGAAAAAGGGGGGAAGCGGGGGGGGGAATCACAAGACTAGCAAGACGTTTCGTCTTGCGAAGCAAGCCCATAGGGAAAATCGTCTTGCGAAGCAACTCAAAAACGGAAAACCCTTTTGTCTAGCAGGTTTTCCGTCTTGCGAGGCATTCGTCTTGCGGGGCACCACTGTACTTCGGGTTAAGAACTTTGCTTCAGGATGAGAACAGAAATCGTGCTCCGGCAGCGTGGCGGCAGCAGCAGGCCCCATTAGCTAAAGTGGTGCTTCAAATTAAGAACAGTTTCGGGTTAAGAATGGACCTCCGGAAAGAATTAAGTACTTAACCTGAGGTATCACTGTATACCTTTAAGGGCGGGAGCAAATAACATGAGCTAGTTTTACAGCCGTGTAGCAGTATAGCAGGTGCTGTTAAGTTATGTTAATTAAGCTCTTGGGTACAGTATATTAAGAGCAGCATGAAGCTCTCTCAGTACCCTGGTGGGTGGGTTACACTTATTGATATAATGTAATTTAGTGTAAAATGAGTTTTTGTTTTTGTTATTAAACCAAGCAAAAGTTACTTGGTGTGGTCTCCCCAGCACGCCTTCGGCAGCCCAACTAATCTGTGAAAAAGCTAACAGTTCTAACACTGATCTCTGGGTTCTCCACCACCACCACCAAGGAGAGCTGTCAACTTTTCTTGCGAGGAATCCTATTCGGAATAAGGGAATTTCCCTTTAAAAAAGGGAAATGTTGTCCGCTATGCCACCAAGGCAGGGTTGGCCCAAGGTCAAGGCAACCCAGGTTTGCAGCTTTGTGTTATTCCCACTATAACCTTTCCCATTATGGGTTAAAAAACATCTGTACCTGCCATTCTCTCTCCTTCCTCAGAGACTTGGCAAACTGGTTCTTTCCCTTCCAAGGAAGACATCCAAGTCCACTGGGAGAATTTCTTTCCAAGGCTAGATCTTTCTGAGAACAAAATATCCAGGGATCTTCTTGATCTGTATATTGAAGAGGGATTGAGAAATGGAGGCACAGGTAGGAATAAAAATCGTGCTAGGCAGAATGCTCCCCCCCCCCTCAAAAAAAGAACCTCATCTGGATTAAGTGATGCAAATTATGAACCTGAACATGTGTGAATTTGGAAAAGAGAATCTTCCTTTTCCAACGGAAGACAAGAATGTTGTTCTTGTTTTTCCAGAATTTCTGTCCCCCATTAGGCATGCCATGAGCCTTGACAGTGATTCTGAGTCCAGGACTTGTAGCTAGGACCCAGCTGCTCCCAGCACTGCTCATAAACTGCACTAGGAAGCTGCATTAGGGGTTCTGGACTAAAGGTAAAGGGGATCCCTGACCATTAGGTCCAGTCGTGATCGACTCTGGGGTTGCGGCGCTCATCTTACTTTATTGGCCGAGGGAGCCGGCGTACAGCTTCCAGGTCATGTGGCCAACATGACTAAGCCGCTTCTGGCGAACCAGAGCAGCGCACGGAAACGCCGTTTACCTTCCCGCCGGAGTGGTACCTGTTTATCTACTTGCACTTTGATGTGCTTTCGAACTGCTAGGTTGGCAGGAGCAGGGACTGAGCAACGGGAGCTCACCCCGTCATGGGGATCTGAACCACCGACCTTCTGATCGGCAAGTCCGAGGCTCTGTGGTTTAACCCACAGTGCCACCTGCGTCCCTTCTGAACTAAAAGGCAGCTCTAATGATAAAATTCTCCCTCTGCACGTCATTCCCACTGATGAGAAGATGCAGACTGATACTTACTGGCTAGAGAGCCAGGAGAGGTTCCTTAGCTGGGCCTTGGGAGTACCTGCCATCAACTGCTCCTGATTTCTCTTTTTGAGTTTTAGTTATTTATTTATTAACGTTCTTATGTTGCATCAGTAAACATTATCATATTACATCACGAGGCTTATTATAATATGATTTTCAGCATGTATACAAAGTTTATACAGTGGTACCTCGGGTTAAGAACTTAATTCGTTCCGGAGGTCCGTTCTTAACCTGAAATTGTTCTTAATCTGAAGCACCACTTTAACTAATGGGGCCTCCTGCTGCCGCCGCACGATTTCTGTTCTCATCCTGAAGCAAAGTTCTTAACCCAAAGTATTATTTCTGGGTTAGCGGAGTCTGTAACCTGAAGCGTATGTAACCCGAGGTACCACTGTATACAAAGTTTATTTTAAAAGTAGCCCATAGATCAAGACGATTAAGGGGAGGGCAACATAAGGGTCAGACTGAGTCCAAACCAAAGGCCAGGCGGAACAGCTCTGTCTTTCAGGCCCTGCGGAAAGATGTCAAGTCCCGCAGGGCCCTAGTCTCTTGTGACAGAGCGTTCTACCAAGTCGGGGCCAGTACTGAAAAGGCCCTGGCCCTAGTTGTGTACAATCTAACCACCTTGCGACCTGGGACCTCCAAAATGTTGTCATTTGTGGACCTTAAGGACCTCCGCTGAGCATATACCAGGAGCGATGGAAAGAAGATAAAGTCCCTACAAGAGAAGATCAGCAGATCAAGTTGATGGATTATGCCGAAATGGCTAAAATGTCCGGAAGACTCAGAAATCAGGAAGACCAAAATGTTAATAAGGAATGGGGGAAATTTATAATTTATCTTAAAAACCATTGAAAGCAGTTAAAATCGTTAGTAGGATTGGTATAACACTTGTAGTTTAATGGACACAATGGAGAGGTAAAATATTTGGATTATTATAAATTATGGAGGAGGGAAGGACTAACTATAGGACCTACAAAGGGGAGAAAGGAAGTCCAGAAGAGTCTTTGGAATCTTGTTTCTATGCTGCATATGTGACTGTAAAATTTTAATCTGAGAAACCAAATAAATAAATTTATAATTAAAAAAATGAAATTACAGGCTAGTGGTGCCTCGCAAGACGAAATTAATCCGTTTCACGAGTCTCTTCGTCTTGCGGTTTTTTCGTCTTGCGAAGCACGGCTATTTGCGGCTTAGCGGCTATTAACGGCTTAGCGGCTTTAAGAAAAAGGAAACAAACTCGCAAGAACTCGCAAGACGTTTCATCTTGCGAAGCAAGCCCATAGGGAAATTCGTCTTGCGGAACGACTCAAAAAACGGAAAACCCTTTCGTCTAGTGAGTTTTTCGTCTTGCGGGGCACCACTGTACTGGGAACATTGCGAGAAAGTATGGCTGAAGCCAGATAGCAAGGATTTAGAAGAGCATATCTCTTCTTTTGAGGGATAAGTATTCGGAACCTGTGCCTTCAAAACAGATCGAGAATGATTCAGAGTTCAGGGTGAGCAATGAGAACACGTGAGCTGTGGCTGCACAATTGTTCAGGGCACCTAAAACAAAAAGGGAGACAGAGAAGTTCGAAAAGGATCTGTCGGAAATGATCCTCCATCATTTTGTGTATTTTAAAGCTGAAACGTGGTCAACCCAGCAGGCTTTTCTTGTGTTTCCTGCTCCATCCTCCCAGCTCCAAGGGGAGGTGATAACAGCATTCCACCAAATCACTACTAGGCCCTTTAACTAGATCAGCAAAGACGAAGGGGGGGAAAAATCATATTCAGCAGTCAAGACTGAAGGAGGAACCCAGGCCGCCTGCTCTGCCTACCACAATCCTCCTTCCCTTACCTGAGCTCGCTGCTTGGATATACTGACTTCTTCAAGTTGGTGCATTAAGAAATATATAGTGTATATATAGTGGTAGTGTTGTACTGTATTATTTACGCAAACTGATTTTCTATGGAGTTAAAGATCTGACTGGGACAAACCCTGTTATGCTGAGCTCGTATTCTGCACAATTTATATAAGGTGTCTGTTTGATAAATGTATGCCTAATAAAGGATATTTGATTTATGTTAATCCACCCCTGCAAGGCTGCTTCCCCCATAGCGGGTTCCTCCCTCTGTCTGGGCTGCATGTTCCCCCTTCCCCCGTTTTTTTCAGAGCTGGGAGAGGGGGAGGTTTAAAAAGGGGGTCTTGCATTGGCGATCCCGCAGCACTTTGGGCCGCACGACCTGAGCGCGCAGCACGGATCAGCCACGACCCCACCCCGTGCATTTCCCGGGGGAAAGTGCTCCGCGTGGGAGGCGCGTTTCCCCTTCATTCCCCCTCGTGCAAATCCTCCTTGGGGTCCCTCCCCCGTCTTTCCTCCCACTTCCACACAAAAGCCTCACCTCGCCGCCTCCTCGCTGCCTCTCGCCTCCGCAGGAGCGTTTCCCTCCGCGGAAGAGGGAGCAGGGCGCTTCTGCAACGCCCCCAGCGCTGCCGCCTTTGGATTGCAACTTCCTGCTTCCCTGGGAAACAGAGCCCGGCCGGGTCAGTCGTCCAGCGGAGGACCGAGTCCCCCCCCTCCCTCTCTCTCTCTGCAACCCTTGCGCCCCCCCCCCTTGCCTACTGCTGCAATGCAACTTCCGCGCTCCCTGCGCTTTCATAGAATCTGTCGAGCTGGAAGGGAGCCGAGGGTCATCTAGTCCAACCCGCTGCCATGCAGTAATACGCCGCTGGCCCCCTACAAGGGATCGAACCTGCAACCTTGGCCTTATCAGCGCCATGCTCTTAAACTGTGCCATCCAGGCTCCCCTTTCCCCCACCTTCTTGCGCGCCTGAACTTGTCCACCTTTTGCATTCTAACACTTGCAAGCTCCATCCTCCGGCGGTTGCATGACGCCAGCTGCGCTTCCTAGAGAAAAAAGAAGTTGCAATCCAAAGGGGGAGGCTGGGGGGGGGTCCAAATTCCGGCAGGAGAAATGGGCCAGCTGTGGAGGAGGCGGGCAGAAGACGGAGAGGTGCAAAACGGAGGGCTGTGGGGGGGGGAGGGAACTTTTGCTTTGGTGGGAGAGTCGCGGGACAAGCCAGGGAAGACCCCCCCCCAGCTCCATCCTTTGAATCCACAGAAATGGGACCTCATCCGGGGGGGCCCAGTTGCACAATGCGGCCCCAGATGTTGCAGAGTTAGCAAAGGGGACCTTAGTTGGGGTGGCACATGAGGGAGAGAGTTTGCTATGCTGCTTTTATGTCCCAGAGCTGGAGGGAAAACACGTCTGGGTTTCCTAGAACTCTCCCTCCCCCCCCAAAAAAAAGCGCCTGTTCTGCTCAGAGGAGATTGAAACTAAGGAGCCCCTTTCTTCTGAGTTTTAATCAGGTTTGGATGGCGCCGGAAGCAACCCATGTTCAAAGGGATGCTCAGCCGCGAGAAATGGAGAAGAGGGAGTATTGGGGGGCGGGGGCAGGGGGAGAGAATCAGACCTTGTTTCCAACCCTGAGCTCATTAGAGAATAAGCCTATGGGAACATGCAAGAACATGCATGGATAGAATAAAAATAAAGGACAATCATCTTAAGACCGGCGTTTGGCTGTTGAAAGTCACTCCTCCTGCCAGCACTCAGTTCACCAGTTACAATGATGTTTCTACATCACGGGTGTCAAACACAAGGCCCGTGGGAGATGAGCGGCAGAATCCGAGACCAAGGGAAAGAGACGGTGGAAGAAGATTGGAAGAAATTTAAAGTTTATCTTAAGAACTTTTATAAAATAAATGAATGCTAAAACACCAAGGTTAGAGAAATTAGGAGGTTACAGCTGTACTGATTAGGTAAAAAAGACAGGGGCAGTAAAAGGTTACTTGATTCAATTTTGAAGTGAGGATTTGCTGAAGAAATTTGAAAACAGGGATGCAGAAAGGGGAGGTATGGGGAAGTCGGAGGAACAAGGTTTAAGAAAAGAAGGTTTTGAAATTATACTTGTTTATGTGTTTGTTTTTTGTATTGTGTATTGTTTGTGTCAAATATGTGTTTCAAAAAACCAATAAAAATTATTATAAAAAAAAAACAAACAAACAAACACAAGGTCCGCGGACCGAATCCGGCCCGCCAGACCTCCAGCCTTCACCTTTTATTCTTGCTTTTTTTTTTTTTGACACAAGAAAGCCGCCTCTTCAGCGCATGTGCGGCAGCCTACAAGCCAGAGAACATCTGCCCTCTAGCGGCGCCGGCCGTTCTACACAGGAAACCTCCACTTTACATGCATTCAGGAAACCTCCACTTGTTTTTATATTGAGCGCATGCAGTAATAATTGAATGCAGTGACAATAATTTATGATAATAAAGAGTGGACACATAGTCCTACAGATACAACTGGCCCTTTGAGGGTGACCAAACTGCTGATGCGGCCCCCGATGAATTTGAGTTTGACACCCCTGTTCTACATGCTTTAGAAAGTGCCCTCTGGGTATCCAAAAACCCACAAAGAGGAGGAACCCTGCGATTGTATGAAATGTGAAAATAAATAAAACATTTGATGTGACTTCCCAAAGTTGGTGGGCATTGCTATTCAAATGGTCTGTGTGTGCCGCTTCTTGCGATTGGTTGTGCAGGGTGGGGCTCGCCTAGCCCCCCACTCCCCATTTTTTATTCAAATTGGCACCCTTCATGGGGTACTTGGCACGATGTAGGCAGGAGGAGGGCTTGTCCAACGTAGGTGCGGGGAAGAAGGGAAACTCAGTCCCAGTGTAGGAGGAATGTTCAAGGGCGAGAGGGTGATTTTGTGCGTTTGTGTAAGATAGTGGTTGTGTGTGCATGTTTGTGGCAAGGTTAGATTACTACCTTGTGGCAAGGTAGATCACATTCACCCGGTGCCATACCAGCTGCACTGGCTCCCGGTGGAGTACAGGATCAGGTTTAAGGTGCTGGTTTTAAACTTAGGTTTATATGGTGCTGGTTTTAAACCTAGGTTTATATGGCCTAGGACCCTCGTACCTACGGGACCTCCTCTCCTGGTATGTCCCACGGAGGACCTTACGGTCTTCAAATAAAACATCTTGGAGATCCCGGGCCGTAGGGAGGTTAGGCTGGCCTCAACCAGAGCCAGGGCTTTTTTGGCTGTGGCCCCGATCTGGTGGAACGCTCTTTCACAAGAGACTAGGGCAAGGCACAGCCTGACCCCCTTCTTTGGCAATCCTCACAGAACTCTAGCCCAATGGTTGCCGGTAATTTGGCTCTGAATTGTTTTTAGAATTAATTGATTTTAGAATGTATTTCAGTTAATTGATTGTGATTTTATGTAAACTGTGTTATTTTTACTGTTGTTAGCCACTCTGAGCCCGGCTTTGGCTGGGGAGGGCGGGATATAAATAAATTATTATTATTATTATTATTACCTAGGGAAGCAACTGAAAAGCGAAACCCCATAAATATACTCTCTTAGAAAGAAGCCCTATAGATCAGGGGCTCCCAAACTGTTTCAGGCCTCCACTTGGCAGCCATAAACACCCACCGTGTCCAATATCCTGTAAAAAGCATTAATCGGAATACCCTGCAACATTTCATCAATGAAAATAGGGACGCCCTATTCCATAATAATAATAATAATAGTAATAATTTTATTATTTATACCCTTCCCATCTGACTGGGCTGCCCCAGCTGAAACTGTTCTTAACCTGAAGCACCACTTTAGCTAATGGGGCCTCCTGCTGCTGCCGCGCCGCCAGAGCACGATTTCTGTTCTCATCCTAAAGCAAAGTTCTTAACCTGAAGCACTATTTCTGGGTTAGTGGAGTCTGTAACCTGAAGCGTATGTAACCTGAAGCGTACGTAACCTGAGGTACCGCTGTGGATAAAAATATAATAAAACATGAAACACAAAAAAACTTCTCTGTACACGGCTGCTTTTAGATGTCTTTTAAAGTTCTCTCCTTGGCTTGGGGGGGTCTCATAACTTCATACATTATTATTATTATTATTATTATTATTATTATTATTATCATTATTACCCCTCCCCATTCCGCTGTGTTTCCCTAGCCGCTAGGGAACCCAAACCCTATGAAAATAGGGATGTCAAGGCTGCAGGTTCAATCCCCGCACGGGACAGCTGCATGATCCTGCATCTTTCCGCAGGGCTTGCAAGACAGAGCTGTTCCGCCTGGCCTTTGGTTTGGACTGAGTCGGACCCTTATGTCTTCCCTCCCCTTACGGTTTTGATTTATGGGCTACTTTTAAAATGAGGCTGCTTTTTAAATTGCATTTTAACCTGTATTTTAAATTGGGCCCCCCCATTATCTTTCTATTGTAATTTTACTGGTGTTAGCTGCCCTGAGCCCGGCTCTGACTGGGGAGGGCAGGGTATACAGTAATTATTATTATTATTATTATTATTATTATTATTATTATTATTATTATCATCATCATCATTGCAGGGGGTTGGACTAGATGACCCTCGGCTCCCTTCCGACTCTATGATTCTCTGATTCTATAAAGTCAAGAACTGGGGCAGCTTGTGTAAATCCAGGACCATCCCTGGAAAATAGGGACGCTTTGCACGACCCGCTTAGAAAGATAAATTCATTTGGGTCGACTTTAGAAAAAGATGCTAAGAATGAGTATTGTTGTTTAAATTGAAGGCTATAAGTTTAAAATTGGATAACTAAGATGAATTAAATATAAAATAATAAGGCAAATGATGGGGATAAGAACTTGCTGAGCTAATTATTGGAATTGGAATACAAGAAGGGGAGGTGTGAGGAAGTCAGGGAAAGATGGTAAGAAAATAAGGATTTGAAATTATACTTGTCTTTTTTCGTGTGGTGTTTATTTGTGTTTTTGTGTTTGTTTAAAAATTCGTGAAACCTTAATAAAAATTTATTTAAAAAAAAAGAAAGAAAGATGAATTCAAAACAACAAGTGAATTGCACACTTCTGCAACATCCAATCAAAACGATTTAGTTTAACTCAGCAAAAACGGTGGCCCAACTTTTCCAAGCCTGATAAGTCATTACTAAGCAGGGGTGGGAAATCTTAAGGCTTGCACAAGAGGGGAGGTGTTCCTGCTACTCAGTTCTCTTCCTGGGCGAAGGAACTGATCTCTGGTTCTTAGAGAGGCAGGAAGTTGCCCATCGAAAGGAAGGGGGGAGGGAAGACACTATTGGTGGGGGGGGGGGAGAGAGGCACCCCGCTCACAGTCTGGGAAGAGAAGCGGGTTTGGTTAAGGAAGAGGCTTCAGAGGAGGAAAAAGGTGCAATAATTGGGGTGATGGAGGAAATGTTGATTTTTTTTGCAGAGGAGGGGGGGAAAGGATGCTTTCCTAGCAGGCAAGGATGCACATTGTGTGGGGAGGGGGGCCCAATGGCTACATGCTGCTTTCGGGCTCCGGAGCTGGAGGACTGTTATGGGAATTACAGTACAGGGGGGCACATCTTTAAAGTTGTTAAATGTTACAAATATTATGCATAAATGTATCCTTTCGGCTTGACAGCTCAGGGAAGTTACCTCGCTTTAACCATCATATAAAATCAACTCCTTTGCCAGTTTCCTCCATTTCAGCACTATTTTGCCCTTGGGGGAAAATGACTCTTCTCCCTGCCACCTCCCCAAGCACACCTCCTACCCCAGGAAGTGCCCAGAGGTAACAATTGCTGAGCTGATTGTTGGCCAAGGAAAGCCTAATCCCATCACCAGAATTGCCAAGGGGTCCAGACATGCAAAGGAAGTAATTTGGGTGGTGGGACTTCAGAGGTGTTTGCCTATGCCCATCTTATACCTGGGTCTTCGTCCTGACATGTCTGCTTATGCTAATCTTGTACCAAGGACTTGTCTGGACATGTTTGCCAAGGTTGAACTAGTATAACCCCTGTCTAAAAAGGTAAAGGTACCCCTGCCCGTACGGGCTAGTCTTGCCAGACTCTAGGGTTGTGCGCCCATCTCACTCTATAGGCCGGGAGCCAGCGCTGTCCGCAGACACTTCCGGGTCACGTGGCCAGCGTGACATCGCTGCTCTGGCGAGCCAGAGCCGCACACGGAAACGCCGTTTACCTTCCCGCTTGTAAGCGGTCCCTATTTATCTACTTGCACCCGGGGGTGCTTTCGAACTGCTAGGTTGGCAGGCGCTGGGACCGAACGACGGGAGCGCACCCCGCCGCGGGGATTCGAACCGCCGACCTTTCGATCGGCAAGCCCTAGGCGCTGAGGCTTTTACCCACAGCGCCACCCGCGTCCCCAACCCCTGTCTAGGTAAAGGTAAAGGGACTCCTGACCATTAGGTCCAGTCGTGGACGACTCTGCGGTTGTGGCACTCATCTCGCTTTACTGGCCGAGGGAGCCGGCGTACAGCTTCCGGGTCATGTGGCCAGAATGACTAAGCCGCTTCTGGTGAAACCAGAGCAGCGCACGGAAATGCCGTTTACCTTCCCGCCGGAGCGGTACCTATTTATCTACTTACACTTTGACGTGCTTTTGAACTGCTAGGTTAGTAGGAGCAGGGACCGAGCAACGGGAGCTCATCCCGTCACGGGGATTTGAACTGTCGGCCTTCTAATCGGCAAGTCCTAGGCTCTGTGGTTTAACCCACAGCGCCACCCACATCCCTAACCCCTGTCTACCCTGTCTAGAGCCAGTGTGGTGTAGTGGTTAAGAGCAGTAGACTCGTAATCTAGGGAACCGGGTTCATGTCTCCGCTCCTCCACATGCAGCTGCTGGGTGACCTTGGGCCAGTCACACTTCTTTGAAGTCTCTCAGACCCACTCACCCCACAGAGTGTTTGTTGTGGGGGAGGAAGGGAAAGGAGAATGTTAGCTGCTTTGAGACTCCTTTGGGTAGTGATAAAGCGGGATATCAAATCCAAACTCTTCTTCCCCTTTTGTGACATGACAGCGATTTAGCAATGCCGTATCAATGATGCTGTATTCTGGGATACGGTGGGGAAGTTTTAAAAGTCTTTGTCACCCCATCCTCAGGGTTCAAAATTATTCTTTGAACCTGTTGCGCAATAAACTTTGCTCTACAGCTATTTGGTGGCTGGACTCCTTCCTTTATTCTGCAGGGACCCGCAGGCTCTGCCCGACCAGCTGTGTGACTGATAAGCCTCACACCTAGATTTTTCCTTAACAAGGGCGAAACACCTTTTGGATTTCGTAGCATTGCAGAGTTGGAAGGGGACCCCAAAGGTCATCTGTTCCAACCCACTGCAGTGCAGGAATTTCAGCTAAAGAATCTCAGTTAAAACACCTTGGACCTTCTCCCTGCTGAAAGGTGGAGGATGGGGGCCAGAGGAGAGACTCTCAAATGCGGGGGAAAACCTTTGTGTCCCCCTCCCTCCCTCTTTGAAACTGCAGCTAGATTGAGCTTTCCAAAACCTTTCCCTGCTGGCTTCATTATTTCCATTTTGCTTCCTTTCTCTCCTTTCTCCGCCAATAATAATAATAATAATAATAATAATAATAATAATAATAATAGTTTATTATTTATACACCACCATCTGGCTGGGCTTCCCCAGCCACTCTGGGCAGCTTCCAACAAAATATTAAAATACAATAATGCATCAAACATTAAAAGCTTCCCTAAATGTGTGGAAGAGAGAGAATAAAGCCATCGCCTTAATGTATCACTTTTTCTCATTCTTCCTACAGTGGATTGGGAGCCCCTTCAGAGATTTTGGCAAATCCTGATGCAGATTAGGCCTTCCTGCTTGGACTCCTGCAATGCGCTCCACGTGAGGCTACCTTTGAAGGTGACTCAGAAACTACAACTAATCCAGAATGCGGCAGGTAGACTGGTGACTGGGAGCGGCCGCCGAGACCATATAACACTGGTCTTAAAGGATGTATATTGGCTCCCAGTAAGTTTCTGAACACAGTTCACAAAGTGTTGGTGCTGACCTTTAAAGCCCAAAACAGCCTCAGCCCAGTATACACTGAGGTCCTGCTCCAAGGGTCTTTTGCTGGTTCCCTCACTGCGAGAAGCGAAGTTACAGGGAACCAGGCACAGGGCCTTCTTGGTGGTGGCACCCTCCCTGTGGAATGCCCTCCCTTCAGATGTCAAGGAGATAAAGAACTATACAACTTTTAGAAGACATCTGAAGGCAGCCTTGTATCAGGAAGTTTTTAATGTTTGATGCTTTATTATGTTTTATATATTCTGTAAGCCACCCAGAATGGCTGGGGAAAAACAGTCAGATGGGCAGGGTATAAAGAATATTAGTAGTAGTAGTAGCAGTAGTAGTAACATCATCGTGAATCCACTGGATGACATTGCCTCAGGAGAGTGATGAACATTGCCTCAGGAGAGTGAGGAAAATTATCAGGGATGATTCACACCTTGGCTGGCACTTTCCTGATCTCCTGCCCTCAGACAGAAGATATAGAAGCATGATTAGTCACACCAACAGGGTAAAGAACAGCTTCTATCTGTGGGCTGTTAGGCTGCTGAATGAAAAGATAACAACAGGGCAACTGACTTTTGGGTTTGGTGGGTGTGCGTCAGTAAACGAGGGGAATTAAGACTAAGAGAGCTGAGTGGGGGGTGCTTGTGTAATCTCAATGTATACAAGTTGTACAAGTGACAATAAAGTATTCCATTTCATTTTTTATTTCATCATCATCATCATTAGGAGCCAAAAGGATTCCCCCACAGCTCCCACAGGTGCAAAGTTGCCTTCAGCAGCTTTATAGTTTTTAAAGCAATGAAACCCAAATTTATATAAAAGATGACCTTCTTCCCTTGGTCCATCTCTCCCCCAGGTACTGAATAGCTTCTCCCTCTTTTGAAGTGCATCTGTGCATCGTGGCAACTGCTGTGAGAGTCCCAGAGATGGCCCAGTTTATGTCTCTCCCTCCATCCAGCACAGTGGCTTCAGAGGCACCACCCGAACCCTCTTTTCTTTGGGGAGGAGTAGAAACAGCTTCGAAGCAGCCGTCTCAGGTAAGGGAAAGATAACTGAGGTTATGCAAAGCAGGCAGTGCGGATGCTTCCCCCTGTCTTGAGCTGTGAAATATTTCATTTATTTACTTATTAAATGTGTGTACCGCCCATCATTCGACGATCACGGGGCAGCTCACAACATAAAAATACAAAACAAGAACACAATGTCTCAGTAATTATTAGTGAGTTGGTTTGTCAAAACCTGTTTGAAAGGCACAGAGATGGCGGCGGCGACTCCCTCGTTGGGCTTTGCGGCTTCCGTGGCTCGGCTAGCCGAGCTGAAGAAGCTGTGGGGCAAACAGCCCTGGATGAGGCCTTACCGGCCCCTGGTGCTGGCCAACCAGGTCTCCAACCGGCGCCTGGGCCTTGGAGAGGCAACATGCATCACAGAGATGTCGTTAATGATGGCCTCTTGGAAGCAGAATGAGTTCAGTGATGTAACTTGCGCCCAAGAGACCCAGACATTCTTCAACTGCGCTGCAAAGGCGGAAGCAGAATGCAAGGAAAAGCTTCGACAAGAATCTCTGGGCCAGTCGGGGAAACTTGGTTCAAAACAAATCAATCAATTACTGAAAAGGTTTCCAAATATCACACACAATTATTAAAGAGAATTGCTTCCCCCAGTAGCTGTGGACACCAGGACTGGATTTTGAAGAAACTCACTTCTTGTTGGTCTTTGAAATGGATGGGAAATGCTTTACTGCACTTCATACTGTTTTTTGGAATAAAACTTCCATTGAGGTAAGATGAAAAAGACCTAAAGTTTCCTTTGATACGAAGAGAAGCTACAGCAGTTATTTGGGCAGAAGAACTTTTGCTTGAAATGTTCTTCAGTTAGCATCAATTTTGAGTCTTCAGTGAAATAAAATCTTTTGTGAAATCCTAAGAAAGAATAAAAACCTGTTTGAAAGTCTGCTATGTCAACTGAATCGCCTCTACATACTTGTTAAGACAAGTCTGAACTTTGCTCAAATCACGCTGGATCTGCTACAGAAAGGGTTTCTTTTGTACACTTGGTATCTCTTTTAACAATGTCTCCCAGCAGCTTCCCCAGAATACTGGTTAAGCTAACTGGCCTGTAATTTCCAGTATCCCCACTCCACACCCCCCCCCAAGATGTTGAAGAAACCATATTTTATTCTTTTTCTCCAGGGTTTGTCGAGCTTCCAGGCCCTCTTGACCTTTGAGGAGGTGACTGTGTTTTTCACGGAGGAGGAATGGGCTCTCCTGGTTCCAGCCCAAAGAACTCTGCACAGGGAAGTCATGGAGGAGAATTATGAGATGGTGGCCTCTCTAGGTAAACACCATGTGTTTTATTTCCATGACTGCTAGGTGCTGGAAGGTTTGAAATCATTATTTGGGCACAGTTGGGAGGCTGTTATGGAGATGGGGGTCTGGACCGTGTGCTCTGGATGTTTGGGGAGGCCCTTGATTTATATGCAGAAGATGCTAGAGCAGGGGTCAGCAAACATTTTTTAGCAGGGGGCCGGTCCACTCTCCCTCAGACCTTGGGGGGCGGACTATATTTTGGAAAAATAAAAAATAAAAAGAATGAATTCCTATGCCCCACAAATAACCCAGAGGTGCATTTTAAATAAAAGGACACATTCTACTCATGTAAAAACACGCAGATTCCCAGACCATCCGCAGGCCAGATTTAGAAGGTGATAAGGCTGGATCCTGCCCCCGGGCCTTAGTTTGCTTACCCATGTGCTAGAGGGGTAAAAGATGAAGGAGCAACTGATAGGAAAGGCATTTCTCTGCCCAATATCCTGGAGATCCAGTCCTAGTTTGAGTGGTCAGTGCTGGACCTCAAAAGACAAAGAGTCTGACATGCAACTTCCTGTAGCCTTAGAGGGGTTTTTGACCATTGGATGCCAACACTTAAAATGTCTACACTTAACGTCTTATTTCGGCGCCTTTCAACGCCAACAAATTTAAGATCAAGATGAGGAAGAGTTTGGATTTGATATCCTGCTTTATCACTAGCCGAAGGAGTCTCAAAGCAGCTAACATTCTCCTTTCCCTTCCTCCCCCACAACAAACACTCTGTGAGGTGAGTGGGGCTGAGAGACTTCAGAGAAGTGTGACTGGCCCAAGGTCACCCAGCAGCTGCATGTGGAGGAGCGGGGGAACGAACCCAGTTCACCAGATTACAAGTTTACTGCTCTTAACCACTACACCACACTGGCTCTCACTACATCACCCCTAAATACATTGTCATATGTTACAGGGCATACTGATTTGGGAAAACCTGTCAAACCCTTTACGAGTTGTATTTTTGAGGTCTGGAAAAGGTGGGATAAAGAAAACCCCTTCCCAATTTATCCTTTGCATAACCAGTGCAAAAACATCTTTCAATCAACCTGCCTCACTCCTTTTAATATATGAATCATAACTGAATCATAAACTGGAAATTAAAATGAGGCTGCAATCCCACAATGCTCATTTCAATGTAGTCTCTGAATAAATAAAAAAGACATGGGGGGGACATGTTTACAATGGGAGCATTAACGTGCAATGTATCATTATTTCAATTTCAGAGGTGTGATATTAAAGATAGCTTTTTTCTGCTGCCACCATGAATCAATTGCAAATCCATTCTCACAACACTGAAAAGCCTAACTTTTTGGGATACACCACTGAATCACTTTTGGACGAGAAGGAATGCCTCCAAGGGTGATTTTTTTAAAAAAAAAGTGTGATAAAATGAAGGAAAGCATTGGGGTTTGTTAAATTCTCCAGTATCATTTCCAAAAGTAGGTCACACTGAACTTCAGATCCAGTGATCACATTTCCACAAGTGCTAGACAGCCCTGTCTTATCTGTGGCGCAGGAATGGTAATATCAAAATTATCCCTCTTTTTTTTGCTTGAGGTCATAAGCAATGGCTCAATTTGGATTGGCTGAATATTTTGAGTTCCAGAGCAACTAGTCTCTTCTGTTTCCTTTGCAGAATTGGACCTCCGTTCCGGTTGGGAAAGAAGGAGAAGGTCCGTTCATTCATGATCCCAAAGAAGTGGTGATATCAATAGGTATCTTAGATGTCTTACGGGGCATTTTGGGGGAAGGATTTTTCCATTCCTGTGTAATATCATCCAGGGCAGATAGACCCAGTGGGACTTAGAGGGGGATCAGACAAATTCATGGATGAGAAAGCTCCCAAAGGCTACTTGTTATGATGACCATGTGCTTGATACCTCTTGAATCAGGACAACAACAGCAGAAGACTGTTAGCTATACTACGGTAGTGGTCAAACTTGGCCCTCCAGCTGTTTTGGGACTACAATTCCCATCATCTCTGGCCACTGGTCCTGTTAACTAGGGATGATGGGAGTTGTAGTCCAAAAACAGCTGGAGGGCCAGGTTTGGCCGCCACTGCTCTACTAGATAGGTTTTTGGCTTGATCCTGTGGGACTCTTCTTATAAAGATGTCTTCCAGCTTGCGGTTTCCCTTCCACATGTTGAGATATTCCCCATATTTAGAAATATGGGTTGGCTTCCACCATGCCTGTTCACAAATACCAGGTGGATCCTGCTAGATCTACAAGCCCTGCCCTATGCATTGGCAGAGTTCTAAGAACACGCCTTTCTCTGCCATTTTTTAATCCCTTGAAATTCACACATGAAATTCTTTCTCTGCCTCCCCCCCCCCACCAGATGATTGGCAGAACGATGGGAATTACAGGGACTCATCTGTGGTGTCTTCAGAAACAATTATGCGTGAAGCAGGGAAAAAAGAAGTTTCGTAACACAAAAGGAACACGAAACACATGAAGGAAACAAGTCAAAGAATGGGAGGAAGAAATCTTTGATTTTTCAGGGTATCAACGTCCAAGAACTCCTGATACTACAAGAAGATCCAAAAGACAAAAACAAGAAAACATGTCCAGACTGTGGGAAAACATTTAGATATGAATCGTATTTGAATAGGCATCGCAGAATTCATACAGGAGAGAAACCATTTAAATGCACCGAGTGTGGGAAGACCTTTATACGGCATTCTCACCTTATTCGTCATCAGAGAACACATACAGGTGAGAAGCCATTTCCATGCACAGAGTGCGGGAAGAGCTTCAGTTTCAGTAGTAGCCTTACTGAACATCAAAGAACCCACACAGGGGAAACGCCATTTAAATGCAAGGAATGTGGGAAGCGTTTCAGGCACAGCAGTAGTCTTACCATACATCGAAGAACCCATACTGGTGAAAAGCCATTTCAGTGCATGGAATGTGGAAAGAGCTTCACCGACAGAAGTAGCCTTACTTCACATGAAAGAACCCACACAGGAGAGAAACCGTTCCAGTGCAGGGAGTGTGGAAAGAGCTTCAGACAGCACAACCACCTTATTAATCATCAGAGAATCCACACCGGGGAGAAACCGTTTAAATGCAAGGAGTGTGGAAAGAGCTTCATTCAGAATATTCACCTTACTTTGCACCAAATAACTCACAGGGGAGAAACCTTTTAATTGCATGGAGCAGTGGTTTTCAACCAGTGTGGCGTGGCACCCTGGGGTGCCTTGAATGAAGGTCAGGGGTGCTATGGGCAACACCTGCCTCTGTCCCTCTTTCCTTCCCTCTGTCCTCTCATGCCCTCTCACGTCTACCTCCCCAAGGCTCGCATGGCTGTTCATTACAGCAGCCATGGGTACAAGCTCTGCAGGCGAATGGTGCCTCTGGGGCTGCCTAGGGGGTGCTAGGTGCCAGGAGCTGAGGTGGCCTTGGGGTAAGTTAGCAAGCAGGAGACAGAGCCCAGTCCACCAGCCCTTGCTGTTGGGAATGAACAGACAAGTCCAAGGCCCGTGTGGGGGCAGTGTGATTTATCTTAACAGCCATGATGAAACAGAAACATTTCCCTCCAGCACCATCTCACTCCAGAGCGGCCTGCTGAAATGGGTTTAATTCTGCCCAGTTTGTTGGGTATGGTTCTGTTGGGATACTGCCAGGGAGGCAAAGTCCATCGTAGCCCCCAAGCCGGCTGCTGGACGATCCATCGACCTCCCGTAGACAGGCAATATCAGCAATTAGCGACACGAAGCCTCAGAAATAGATTGCCACATTCCTAGGCTGGTGCACACTCTATCAGCAGAATTCACACAGCGAAAGATGCACAGCAGGAGAGCATATTTACAGACTTTATTCAGCGTTGATCAGAACAAAAGAAAGACATGACTGTCTGCGTCAGTCTTCTCCGACCGAGAGAGATCGAAAGCAACAGCAAACATAAACATCAAGTGAATAGGACATGCGCAGACTCTGTGACTCACAAAGCCTGCTCCCTTTTAAGGTGGAACGGAAATATTCTAACAGGTTCCCCCCCTCTCCATAAATTGGGGAAAATCCTTTGCCAATACAGTCATACCTCGTGTTACTTTTGCTTCATGATTCGTTTTTTCAGGTTGCGTCCCGCAGCGACCCAGAAGTACCGGAAAGGGTTACTTCTGGGTTTTGTTGCTCGCGCATGAGCAGAAGCGCAAAATGACGTCACGTGCATGAACAGAAGCGGCGAATCGCAATCCACACGTGTGCAGACACGCCGCTGTGGGTTGCGTTCAGCTCATGTTGCGAGTGGGCCTCCGGAACGGATCCCGTTTGCAACCAGAGGTACCACTGTATAAAAGATTCCATAGTTTGCGCTCTCCTCTTTCACTCTCATTAACAGGTTCTTTAATTCCTCCTCACTTTCTGCCATCAAAGTTGTGTCATCTGCATATCTGAGGCTGTTGATATTTCTTCCGGCAATCTTAATACCGGTTTAGGATTCATCCAGTCCAGCCTTTCGCATGATGTATTCTGCATATAAGTTGAATAAGCAGGGGGACAATATACAGCCTTGTCGTACTCCTTTCCCAATTCTGAACCAATTCTGAACCCAGTTCTAACTACAGCTTCTTGTCCCACATAGAGATTTCTCAGGAGACAGATGAGGTGGTCAGGCACTCCCATTTCTTTAAAATAAACCAATAGTTTGCTGTGGCCCACACAGTCAAAGGCTTTTGCATAGTCTTAGGCATAGTCACAAAAACCAGAACTTGCCTGTTCCTGTTTTGTTAATGAAAGGTTATGAGTCATACTTGGTGCCACCAACAGGCTAGAAGCTAATGAGAAACAAATAAAAAATACAGTGGTACCTCGGGTTAAGTACTTAATTCATTCCAGAGGTCTGTTCTTAACCTGAGACTGTTCTAAACCTGAAGCACCACTTTAGCTAATGGGGTCGGAGCACGATTTCTGTTCTTATCCTGAAGTAAAGTTCTTAACCCGAGGTACTATTTCTGGGTTAGCGGAGTCTGTAACCTGAAGCGTATGTAAGATGAAGCGTATGTAACCCGAGGTACCACTGTAACGTAAAGATGCGAAACAGAGATGGTGAAAGAGGATAATGGCAACACAGTTCTTCACCTCTGATATTGAGGATGGAGGAAGTTCATGAAATTCTAATTTGGGTTCAGATAGGCTCAAAAATATGCCACGGACATTTCCTAATATTTTGGCGAATACTTAGGCTTATTTCTGAGCCCATTCTTAGTAAATGCAAGAGCTCAGCCTGGTTCAGGGTCACTTGAGTGGTCCCAGGTGATATTTCACATTGTTGCCATGGCGAACTGTGACATCATCTGCAGAGTGTTTATGAGGGAACAAAAGACCTGGTCAGTATCTGTCATGTGAGTTGCAGGCTGTTCTAACTCAGGTTATATACTTGACCAGAAAGACAGGGAATGAGGATCCCCACAGCTCAGGATTCTTCCCCAGGATATGGTCCCAGCCCAGGATTAAAGCCAAAGGGGAGAACAGGTAGGAGAATCTGTTCCTGATCTTCCTGAGAGCACATCTGTCTGTGAGACCCAGCATCCAACCTTCCTCTTGGACCTAATGCATTTGCTAGACAGCAGCTCGGACCAGTCCTAGCCATAGCTGTCAACGTTTCCCTTTTTTAAAGGGAAATTCCCTTATTCCGATTAGGATTCCTCGCAAGAAAAGGGAAAAGTTGACCGCTATGGTCCTAGCAGAGTGAGACAAATTTTGGGCAGGTTGTCCACAGCTCATTCAGTTGAACGAGCAGGAGGGTCCCCAAACACAGTAGGAATGGCATGCCACATTTTGACGTAAATACACCCAGTGAAGTAATACCCAACTCTCAGACTCCCTTTTAGGGATTCCTCCAAGTCACAGCACATTCGCTTATTTCTGAGTCCAACGGGTAGGACCCTAAGTCCCGACAGGTGGGGAGAGGGACCCTCTTTTTTACAGGATTCCTGTTGTCTATGTTTTTAAACGGTCTACTTTGGCAAGACTCACCACTTGGCTTCCTGCCCAGAATCCCTTTGGTCTCTGTGGGTCTACTCCATTCTTCGTAAAAGGGATGCGCCAGTCAGTGGCGTAGCGTGGGTTGTCAGCACCCGGGGCAAGGCAAGTAATTTGCGCCCCCTAACCCCTAACCTGCCGCCGCTGCCAGCTTCTTCTTGCTGCTGCTTGGGCTGGTCTGGTGTGGTTCTCTCCCGCGCTCTGCGCTGGGCGGCCGCTGCACTGTCCCTTCCCCAGATAGTCCCTCGCTCTCTCTCCGCACCGCACGCCTGGCACCCCCCCTCCACAGTAGGCGGCGACCCGGTGGCTCGGATCGGATTCGCACAGCCAGCACTGCAGTGAGAGAGAGTGAGCCAGGTAGGGGCAGAGAGCTGAGAGTGTGAGCGCGCCCCCCCAGATGTTGCGCCCGGTGCGGCTAGCCCCCCCTGCACCCCCCAACGCTACGCCACTAGCGCCAGTGCGAACACTGCCCTCTCTTTGTGGTGGTGGGGGGGGGCAGCTCAGAGACAGGGGCGGCAGCAGCGTCTGCCCAGATGAACCCCATAGGTGTCGTGTTCCCCCCCCCCCGGAAGAATTAATTGTGGACCTAAATTTTTAAAAGAAATACAAGCAATAAATTCAGAACAAAATGCCGAGTTAATTGCAAATCAGGTGATAACAGATGAATGCAAGATACAAAAAGGAACTAGACAAGGATGCCTGCCATCACTGCAGTTGTTTATTCTGGTCTTCGAAGGACCTGCAGGATCAGTGGGACTATCTGAAAAAGAAAGAGCATTTTTGGCAATACATTCATTTTTATCACTGCTATTTTTCTAGTAGGGAAAGGTTCATTCTGCTCCACATTTCTGAATTCCTTTTTATCTCAGACCACACTGGATTTATGCAACCTTGGAGCGAAAGAAGTAAGTAACTATACAACCTTTTAAAGACATTTAAAGGCAGCTCTGTATACGAATATAATAATAATAATAATTAATAATGGTTTTTAATGCTTTTATATATATTGGAAACTGCCCAGAGTGGCTGGGGAAACCCAATCAGATTGGTAGCGTGTATGCCTGTATAATCCTGCCTGGATCTTGCAACCCAGCTGACAGGCTTTTTCAGTGCCCGTCAATAAATACAACTGGACTAGTAAGCAGACACAACAGGGACTTCTCAGTGGTGGCTCCACAATTCCTGTACAGATAATGGCTGACCCTGCGTCTCACATATGTAAACAGCTTTGTCAATTTTTAATTTTTTCTTTAAATTCAAGCTCAAATTTTTAATGATAAAAGCATAAATGAATGAACTAAGCAGTAGACATTCTGTTAAACTTTGCTTTTCTGTGGATTTTTGTATAAAAAATTTAAGAGGGAAATGATTGTTTTTAAATCACATCCATTAAAGAGTTGCAAGTATATGTCTGAACATGCATGTCCAGCACTCACGTGTATTCATACACACATTGGATATTTTGCTAGAGTTATGATGTGTGTCGGTTTATGAATATGTGTTTGCCCGCAACCCCATGCCCACAAGAAGTAAAAGTAAAAAAGCAAAGGCGCTGTGGTCTAACCAGTGTTTCCCAACCGGTGTTCCGCGGCACACTAGTGTGCCGCGAGACGTTGCCTGGTGTGCCGTGGGAGGGAGGCGGGCGAGTCGGGCGGCGAGAGGCGGGGCGGCGGCGGCGAGACCACCAAAGCCTCTTGGGACTCAGCTATACAGCTGCAAATACAACGTTTTAAGTGCATTATACAAATGGGACACTAGATAGCGCTGGTGTTGTTGTTGTTTAGTCGTTTAATTGTGTCGGACTCTTCGTGACCCCCTGGACCAGACCACGCCAGGCACTCCTGTCTTCCACTGCCTCCCGCAACTTGGTCAAACTCATGCTAGTAGCTTCGAGAACACTGTCCAACCATCTCGTCCTCTGCCGTCCCCTTCTCCTTGTACCCTCAATCTTTCCCAACATCAGGGTCTTTTCCAGGGAGTCTTCTCTTCTCATGAGGTGGGTAAAGTATTGGAGTCTCAGCTTCAGGACCTCTCCTTCCAGTGAGCACTCAAGGCGGATTTCCTTAAGAATGGATGCATTTGATCTTCTTGCAGTCTATGGGACTCTCAAGAGTCTCCTCCGGCACCATAATTAAAAAGAATCCATTCTTCGGCGATCAGCCTTCTTTATGGTCCAGCTCTCACTTCCATTAACTATACGGACCTTTGTTGGCAAGGTGATGTCTCTGCTTTTTAAGATGCTGTCTAGGTTTGTCATTGCTTTTCTCCCAAGAAGCAGGCGTCTTTTAATTTCGTGGCTGCTGTCACCATCTGCAGTGATCATGGAGCCCAAGAAAGTAAAATCTCTCACTGCCTCCATTTCTTCCCCTTCTATGGCACTGGTGAGCTAATGGCAAATTCCATATTTTAAAAAAAACTTTTTTTTAAAAAAAGCATTTTCAGGGTGTCTTTTGTATATGTGTAGATTCAGCCTTGGGCTTGCTGATCGCAAGGTCGGCGGTTCGAATCTGCACGACGGGGTGACCTCCTGTTGCTTTGTGCCAGCTCCTGCCAACCTAGCAGTTTGAAGGCATACCAGTGCAAGCAGATAAATAGGTACCGCTATGGTGGGAAGGTAAATGGCATTTCTGTGTGCTCT